CGAGAAACTCTCGCGAATATCAGCTGTACGATTGCGTTATCGTATAGCTAACATCCGCCAAAATTCAAACCAATAAAATATTAAAGGTTTGCAAAGTTCCAGAACATTTTAATGTATATGCTTTCTTGCAAATATTATATGCGATTTTTTTATGACAATGTATGAGTATATGTATAATTTTATTTAGTAAAGATGAATATTGGTTTGATAGATTGTTAGTAATCTTTTTTATTTTCCTGGAAGGCTTTTGCATTATCTTATGCATCCGAACAAAAACTAATGTATGTATTATTGCTTTTTTCTGCAAATTTACATTTTGCTCGAGATACACAATTCTAAGTAAATATAATGTTGAGCACACGTGATAGTAAACAGTAAATTATCGCAATACAGATTAGTAATCATCATTTTCTTTATTTCGCGAACATAATACATTCACTATGTTAATCGAAACGTTTATAAAGTTCATATTGTTTCTACGTGCAAAAACATCACGATCACGGAATGTTTAAGATACAGCGTCATATCAAATGCATAATAATTTTCTGTGCATAAATGTCTATAATATTTTACTGTATTATCGTCGACGGTTGTTATACACATTCGTTTTCAGAAACACGGAAAAAAAAGATCTGCTACATATGGACTAACATTATTTGTTATATTAGCCACTTTTTCTTTGCTGCAATTTTTTTGCCAACAAAAAAAGTAGTTAAAACAGTAAATTATGTTTAATTGTCTATATGTAGCCAATTCGCTACGTTAGCCACTTTTCTTGTTGTAGCAGACTTGTTATCATAGGAAGAAAATAGGTTCCTGCTGCAAAAAAAGTAGCGATTTATATTTAATTGTACGTAACGAATTAGTTTGCTGCTGCAGCAAATTATTTTTTTCTGTGAATATTAGATTTCTGCGAAAATATAGCTTGTTCGCGTATTTTTCCACGATAATTGTAGAAGACGCAATACGATATTGTTCTTATATATTATTTTGAAACATCGTAATTGTGCAGAAATTGTCAAATTATTCAGACTGAAGCAACAAGGATTCACATAAATTTGACTTTATATAAAACACGCGCAACACGAATGTATGTATTACAGGTTATTCTAATATTTTATATTTTACGTATTTTGAATAATCCATATCACAGTAATATATGTATCAATTTATTTTTTAAAGAAGTTAATATGAAAAGATCGTCAAGAGTACCAATTCCAACATTACATTATTATTTATACAATTAGCTTCTTTTTTATTTTTGTGCAAACTGTTATTCAAATAATTAGATTTTTCATTGGATCTTTGTTACCCGATATTATATAGTGTATTCAATGAAAACATGTTATTAGCCCCAAAAATCTCGTCAGTTTAAGTTAACGATCTGCATTAATTTTTAGATAGTTCAAGTTGGTTGCCGACACAATTAACATAATCCCCAAGCTAAAATGCTTTTAACCTTTTCGTTCTGAAATCGTACAAAATAATGAAATCGGAATCGCAGTAAATCTCACAATTCCACAAAGTCCGTTTAAATCATGGAAGTTAAATTAAGGTGGAGATTAAATCAGGCCATAGTTTAACATAAAATTAAACATATCGCTATATCATGTTATTATATCTTTATGACTCTGAAGTGTTGATGATGCTGTTACAAAAAATAGTTTTTTCCTGTTTCAAGATGTTTCTTGGTAGTACATACGAAAATTATGATAACGCGGAACTACTATTTTATTTATTTGTTTCCGAAAGTTGTTTTTTTATTGTTCAATTGCTACGCGAACATTATATGGAACGGTCTCTTTGTCGGATTTATCGTTACGTATTTTTCTTCAATTACAATTACGACCACAAGTATCCAATTTTGTAAATATGTTACGTTCCCCATAAATTTGTCGAGTATAAGAAAAAATATACTTTTACATACGCTATTTTTGCCATAGAAAAGCAATTTATCGTACTTATGCGGCGCCAAAATCCGGACAAAATTCAATTTGAAATTCTCGCCGTTCTATACCACTGGTAGATGTCGCGATTAGCGTTCAAATAGCTTGACACATGTACTAAACCATCATAACCTCGAAACAGTCGCAATGTTGAAACCAAGTTATAACCGAAGAGCTGCGATTATCGAAAGTGTTCGCGCTGGGCGCTCGGCGACAGAAATCATTCGGTTCTTCGCGTACCTGAGATCGACTGTGTATGATGTCATCGCAAAGTACAATGAGTCGGAGAAGTCCAACGAAGGTTTTGCAACACCGGCGAGGAAAACCCATTCGAAGGAGCGCGTTGTCAGGACGCCCGACATCATTCAACGGGCTCAGGAGCTGATTTTTGAGGATCCAGGGTAGTAGATCCGAAAATTGTCGTCGGTTGTTGGTGTGAGCGAGAAAACTATGCGTCGAACTATGCGAGGAGGACCTCCGCTACAAGTCTTACACAATTAAAGTGAGACAGATGCTTTTCGAAGCCGCCAGGACAAAGCGAGTTGAACACTGCAACCTGCTGTTGTGTTCCCAACAGCTCAGATTTGAATCCTTTGGACTTCTATGTATGATGCGTAGTTGAAAGGGTCACGAACAAGTCTAGAGCATCATTGAGAGCCGCTATTGAAGCGAAATTCACCGATATGGACCGTGACACATTAAAGCGCGTCTGTGCACGCTTCAGACCGAGAATGGAGGCGGTTATTCAAGCAAGCGGGGGATATATTGAGTAAATGTGTTCTTTGTGGCCTTACAAACAATGCGGTTAAAAAATTTTGTAAATCTTTTCGTTTTTGCAATAAAAAATATATTTGGAAAAAATGTATAATTTGTCCGGATTTTGGCGTCGCACATGTACGATAAATGTACGTAAACTTACAATAAACATACTCCTTTCACATATATTGGTAACCGTAAATCAGTTAGATAGATTGACAGTGACCTGTGCACTTTTCTGAGACTTTTGCAATATCTCATCCAATATCTCATGCAATATCTCTATCCAAGCAAAAATGTACATATTAGTTTTTTTCTGCAGTTACTTACAATTTATCTCTGCTACGCAGAAACGCTCTTTATGTTAATCAAAACTTATGAAATTTGCATTAATTTTACATGCAAAAACAATTAAATATTACAATCACAGTATGTTTAAGATATAACGTTATGTCGAATGCATAATAATTTTCATAAGTACATAAATGACCATAATATTTTGTTGTGCATTTATGTGTACATCATTAAAAAGTTAGAGATATTTTGACGTGCATGTGTACACTTGTTTACGTGTAGTATGTTGTAATTAAGAATGTCTGAGCACGGTAATTCTCGGTTAACAAATCAATTCAACGTTTATTTCCTTTAGTGGTATGTAAATGAGTAAATTTTTAATGTTTATAATATAACGAAAACTACAAATAATAAATTTGTTGATCTTAGTCATCTAATGATGTCAAATAATGAATATTTAAAAAATTAGAACTATATATACGTTGTGTGGGAAACTAGGATTTAATCAAAACAAAAAATGTTGCGAAGAAACATACGTTCTCGCCTGTACAGTTAATGATTCAATTGTTTTATTTTATGAGAAAACGAAAAGAATCAATGAATCGCGTATCTTTTTGTGGATACAAGGCGAACTGGGCAACTTTAGTGTATCCGATTGTACCAGTTTTCAGAGGAGAATGATACAGACCAATCTTATTTTCATAGCTGTTCAGAGCCGATAACTTGGTTCTAGTTTAGAAAAAAGAGAGACAAGGTTCGAAAATCTCTCGCTTGTTCATCAGCCAGAGTCGCTTTGTTCATCAGTCAGGGTCGCTTCGTGTAAAACGATAAAAACAAGTACGATATTTTCTTTCTTTTAGGTGTATAGTATCCTTATGGAATTTTTCGCGTAAACATTAATTGGACGTAGTTCGATTAAACGTATTTTTTAGGTGATATGAGCTTTATCTTTCGACTTTGTATTTGATCTGTGTGTGTGTATATGTGTGTGTGTTCTGCCCGCGATTATACTAACTACATGCTAATGCAAAAGCAAATATCGCTTTGTAAGCCTTTATATTATCAATATAAAAAAGAGAGAAGCTTTTATAATCGAAATTTTATAATCTAAAAAAATAGCAAGGGAAATTAAAAGTTTTCATTTGTATTGTGTGATATTTTTAATATATTATTATAAAAGAAAAGAAAATTATTTTTCTTCAAACAAAAAACAGAATTATGTAAATATAAAGTTATATATATATATATATATATATATATATATATATATATATATATAAAATATATAATATATATAATGTGTGTGTGTGTGATTGTTATAAGACAAAATGTAGGTATAATATATCCCCATCATTATTTTCCCTGTTTTTGCTTAATTATAAAAATTATTGATTAGCGAGATAATCTGTTTATTTGTTTGCGCATTAAATTAATCTGTATGTATGTATTATAATGAAACGTGATTGTATTGTAATAAGATAAACTTTAATGTAATAAAATTAAATATCTCAATGATTGTATAAATTGATATTAGACATGCTACAGCAACGAATGAAATATCTCATCTTCTTTGAAATAAAAATAAGTAGATAATACATTAATGCAAGATTTGTACTTTTATTTATATATATTTTTTCATCTATTTTACACACTATATATCGAATAAAAACACGAGAGTAACATTTCTCAGTTTTACGTAAGATTATCCCGGCGAAAGTGAGGTATGAAGATCGATTTTCTTTTGATTCCAGTTTATATATTATAATTAAAAGATTACAATAAACACTTTCGAAATATTTTCTTTATTGATTTCAGATTGACGCAGTATTAAATTATGCAAGAGCTGAGGTCATCATAACAACGAGCGAGCATATTTGAAAAGTGCAAATAAAGACATACGTTCACGCGCTTAAACGTGTTTGTGTCGAATGATATTTAAGACATCGTGACAGTTTTTGCGTAAGCCTGATTACCAACAAACGCATTTGCATCGCATTTCCATTTATGATGACCACTTCAACACACTGCTCACCATCGCGATCGTCTCTGAGCTGTTGCCCATTTGATCGTAGCAGTCAAGATGACATACGAGACTCGGCGACTATAGGCAATAACAATTATTTCCTACAAGAGAAACACTCCTTCCCGAAGAGACCAGAGATCGATTTGTCTTTCCGTGACATACGTTATTGCGTTAAGGAATGGAGCATATGGAAATTTACAATCAGTAAGTACTAATTAGTACCAATTAAATAATCACTTATTCTTTTCAGTTTTAACACTCCGTAATGCAGATGTTAGTAAGACATTTGTCCGTTTCGGATTCGCGTTTTTCCGCAATCGTTGCAGCCATAATGTTTCGTGAATATAATTTGCAGTTTTATATCTTTGAAAAGATTCAGACGGAATAATAGAAATCTCTCTTGAAAGACTCATGAATAATAATTACACGTAAGTGAAAGCAGATTATTACTCCGCAATGCTCGCAATTTACTGAACGATGACGAGAAATTCCCGTACTCTAAAACGTGACGAAAATTATCATGAGAGCCAAAACGCGATAAATATTAATATTTTTATTCGGTTAAAATCCTATTTGTAGAAGCACTATTACACATACATACGCACACATACACGAATCAAGAATTATTTAAGCGGCACGATTACTTTAATAACAACCGCATATTGTAGGATTAGTGACGTACCTTGAGAGAAAGTATTTGAAACGCGGTCCTACCGCAGAGACGAAGAAAGTTTTAAACGGAGAAAGTATCGCGCTACATTTTGAAAATATAACATACAAAAGTTATACGACTTGAATGCATTGATAGAGCTATCATCTTGATAATGCTTATATATTTTGAGAACAATCAAACGTAGCAATTAATCGCAATAACTAGGAATGTGTTAGAATAGTAAACGTGTCTAGCAAAAACTGATTAAACATGCGATACTTAATTAAACAGATCAAACGCGTCATTTAATAATGTTTAAAAATATGTTTTAGCAATGACATTTGTATTTCAATTAGTAACATATTTCTCTACATTTTCATAATGTGATGGCTCGCGAACATCTCGCATTCATTCATCCGTAGATACATTAGCGTCAGTAATAATAACTGGAATATGTTTTTTCCTACATTCTTACATGATACCTACATTTTCTTGTAAATACTATTCATAGATATGCAATAAATTGCATAATTAATTGCATAACACGTCTATACCAAAGTGTATACGCACTGTTGGTGTCATTGTTAATTCACTTTATCTTGACGGCAGTGAACTGCTGAAGCTGTAATTTTAATATACATGTTGTGAAAAAAACGTAGCTGTATTGTTGTGTTTTTGTTATGAGATTCGCAAGATTAGTTTCCACGAAGAAAACTATTTTTTTCTATACGAGTTTGTAAAGAAAAGAATAATGAAGTGCAGAATTAACGATTTTAGCAAATATTTGCTAAACGATTTTTACACATTTTATAAGAAATAACATTTTTAACTTTTATCTGTTATGTATACGATTCTCATAGATGTAAAAAATTAAAACCGACATATACATACCATACACACACACATACACTTTTTCTTCAGATATTTATCTTCAGTGAAACTTAATTTTTCTGTTATAGATTTTTCTTATTTTAGTATAACACGAAATTATATAAAAAATGATGCGTTGTTGCACAATTCTAGCATTACGACAAAAAAATTATTAATTGTTTCACAATCTCATGTATAAAATCACCTTGACATTTGAATTGGCTTAAAATAATGTGATTCTATCTCTGTTGTTATAAAACCTTATTACGTGATAGTCGCACTATAGATAAAAAATCTTGACATTAATTGACGTTACAGTACTTAGTTTCAAGCTGAAAAAAAATATTTGTGATGCAAATATTGCGTTCGAATGTTGATTAATCGAATCTATGATTGATTATTTATTATTTTAATTATACCGCTAGATGGATTATTATGTCGAGTATGAGGATCTAATTCGAAACCGCGCATTGAAACCACATCCGCTTTGAGAAAACGTTGTATTAATCATGATCCAAGAAAGGAACATGTGCGTCATTGACAGTGATACGCAAAAGAAGAGTACATGTTTTAAAGGTGGAGTCAAACGCATAACAATGCGTCTTCCCTTCCAATGACGTTTCCAAAGATAGACGTCATTATACTTATCATTATACTTATACATCAATCCACATATGTCAGTCCACGTTTCACATTGAGGAAAAAATACTTGAAAATTTATTTGTAGAATCTAAAGTTTATTCACAAAAATAAACTTTATACCCACAAATAAATTTCTAGATGTTTTTTCTCAATGCATGAGACGAAAATGAAGCAAATTCTTTCAACTTCTTTCACTTACATTTGCTGAAGCGAAAACTTTGATAAGTACGAACAAAAATAAAGCACTTGCTTCTTTGAATACGAGACTGTAGAGTGAATTTCTCGACAATGTATGAAACTATTACAGCTTGAGCCATTAATACGTGACAATTTATTGATTTATTGGCAAATAAATAACTTAAAGCTAATAAACGTGCAAGCATTAAATAATACAATGAAGAAACTTATTCTTGCAAAATGCAAGATTCATTTCTTGAAAACGAAGCAGACACAGTGGTCGGGGAAAAATGAATTTTTGGAAATATCTTCATAAATATATAGAATATCTACATCGCTCATAAAATTAAATAACAAGCAAAATAAGAGAGTAACATTCGTTCTTGCCCTTCGTTTATTTCTTAAGGCATCACGTGTATGCAATGAAATGTACATTTGATCCATTGCACTGAGCATTACACTGAGCATGTGCTACTTCGCTGAATAAACGGATGTTCGTGATTATCGCGTTATTACAAAGTTATTAGTGCATGTAGTTAGACGTAGTGCACGTAGTTAGTCATATACCCATCATTGACCGAATATTATATAAAATGCAATTGAAGGAAAACATAATTCGGCATATTTCTTAATGCCTTGTCTTGGTGACAGCTATGTAGCTACAAAATATTACACGAGTACTTTGATCTGTTATACATATACACACATTCGTTGCAACGTATGTGGGTCATACGGAATTAATAAGCTTCATCTGTTATCAGTTTATCACGAAAGCAGTTCAAGGACTGTTTAGATGAGTATGTGCAAGGTTAAAATGAATAATTAGATTGCTCTAGAAATGTTATCTGCAGTAGTTACTGTTATTTGCGCATATTGCTCTCAGTATTATTGAGAAAGAGGAAAAGTCGTCTTAGATAATACGAGCCTATAAACTTGACACCAAACTTTTATTCTCTTTCATGTTGCAAGTAACGATCATAAAAAAATACTGTTGCTTAAATCACAACCCTTATAGAAATATCATACTAAGAATCAGTATTAAAAATACTGGATAATAAGTAATTATCAATGATTCTTAGTATGATATTTCTATAAGGGAAGACGATAAATATCGTATCTATTTCTGCTTGCATTACTATATAAATAACTATAAAGTAATTGAATTAGTTTTCTAATGTCGTGATATATAAAAATAACTTCTCTAATGAGTCTTTATGAAAAAAGTCTTATGTTAAAAATGTTTCATTTTTAACATTACTTTTGTAATTTTGCGCCGACGTTGAAGTATAAATTTTTAGGTTTCTTTTATCATAATGTATAGTATTCGTTTTATATATCTTCGGTAAAATCTTATCGTATTTAGAGTCAGTGATTAAGGCACGTATTTTTTGCACGATTATGTTATTTGTGTATAAAATAATGACTAAGGTTTAACCTATAAATGAAGTGGATGTAAATTTAAACTTCATAAAACTATTATATAACATGCGCGTGTATTTTTTTCTCTTCGCATATATTTCGCTAAGGTCAAATTCTAAAGTTTAGTGATATTGCTCCATGTGTTAAGTAAGCTAACAATGAATCATCACGTGAAACGCTTATGACGCAGTAACGTAATTGCAAGCGACTGCCATATTTGTTACAGACCAGAAAGAAATTCTACACGGTGTCAGCGGTGAGTTCAAAGCCGGAGAATTAGTAGCTATAATGGGGCCTTCCGGGGCAGGAAAATCGACGTTACTGAACGTTCTTGCCGGTTTCACGTGAGTAAGAAATAAAAAAATGCAAACGTCCTAATGTGCACATTATAATGATATCTATAATGATATCCGATAAGTAATTCCACTTCATAATATCATTAAAAATCAAGTTTAGATAATACGATGCTTGTTGTTGAATCTTCAATTTTCTGTTTATAAACAAAATAAAAATCTTATTTTGTTGTAAAAATTATTTTATTAATATTTATAACAAAAATTTTGTTATTAATTATTTTATTAATATTTACGATATTTACAATAAATTAAAAGTACATAATAAATATATTAATGTTTATCATATATTTATACACATACATATGTATATTTATATTTTAGATAAGATTACGTTTAGATAATAGTAAATCGTGCTGTGAATTTGAATTGTGTATTTATTAAATATAATAATTGTGTATTTATTAAATATAATAAAGTATAAAGTTCAAGAACAGCGCGTTAATGCTCGTTTGTTCAGTTGTTACATAAAAACGGAAACTTTTCTAAAATTGACTTTTATCGCACGTTATATCGCGGTAAACCATGAATAATTATGCACATACAAAAGTAGGATATTGAAACGAGGAATATCAGAATGGAATACAAAAAGAGACTGTTCGAGTTATTAGGTAGAACCTGCTTAATAAGCGCATTCACGTAGAACACTCCCGCTGAGTGATCACGATTACTCACTTTTATGACATTGATATCAGCTTTGTGTCCAGATAATTTTATATTTTCCACGAAGACTCGCTGTTTCATAGATGAAGCAGTTCCAATAACAATATTTTAATTATGAGTGCTTTGTTAATTAATAATATATTTGTATGAATACGTAATTATGTTAATTATAATTACGTTATAATTACGTTATAATAATTAATTAATATGTTAATTAATAATATATTTGTATGAATAGTCACAATCTGTCAAATCTAATTTTCTTCGAATGATGGATTTCTCGAAAATAAATCTAGAAGCGATTTGTATTAAAAAAAAATTACAATGCTAAAATTTCTGTTCAGAATTAAATTTTTTTAGATATATCAAAATTTAATAAAAAGTTACGCAATAACTTTTAATCTTGATATTACAACAAATCTTAATAGTATGCAACCTATCTCTCTTTCGTAATTATTTTGGAATAAGATATGTTTATTTAAATTACCTACACTGCACATTTTGTTGTTATACGAATGTACGGTAAATATTTTAATAATATTTGACACATATTATGTAGCACATATTATATACAATATGTATAATGTACATGTCTGTACATTTATTATGTGCAGATGCAAAGAGATTCGCACAATTTCCTGATAAATAATAATGTAACTTAAGCGTATGCATTTGAAAATAAAAGGTCGCAGACGTACTGTTTGTTTTAGATTAATAATACTAAGCTATATAATAGTGGTCGTTTTATATTTAAAATAATGCAATTGTAAAAAATCGATATATTACGATGTAAAATCAACGTTAATCAATCCATTACGTATTACGATGTATCATAAACGATAATGTACAACATTATCAATAACAAAAGCATCTATTATCCGTAAAAATCGACCGTACAGCTCTTGTGGTTTTTTTGTGAACATTATTTGCGTTAAAGCATATATACTATATATATATATATATATATATATATATATATATATATATACATATTTATTTATTTATTTATTGTAAACAGTCATATCCCATCGACAATGAACTATTGAAGGTAAAACCAAAATTAACATTCAAGTTGACGGTCACATCCAATTGCTACTCATTTCACGGTAGCATCGAAAATAATAGTTTGAATAAAAGTCACACTCAAATATTTGGAGATAACACGAAAAATCATACTCAGATTGACGATTACACTCAACCGATACTTAATTATTTGATGATAACACCAAAATTAACTTTCTAAATGAAGGTTACAACCAACCATTTGAAAGTAACATTCGAAATGGTACCAGAATTGATGGTAAACCCTTAACTAACCCTTAACTAACACCCAAGTTGACGGTTAACACTGAAAATTTCGGTATATTTTTCGTAAGGATATGTAACATAAACTATAGAATTTTAGTAAGAATTTATTTTTTAAGAATTTTTCGAAAACAATTTCTTTCATTGAACTATCACCTGTGTGTCTCCAACTGCATTAAAAGTGTTCAAGATGTTTTGAAAATCAGTGTATACAATATGCCTTCATCTTACAATATATAAATATTTTTTTATAGTATTCTCAGTATTTTCCGGGTGACGAGTATATTTAATTATAATTCTTGCACTTGTTCGTCTAAAAGCATCTCCTTCAAATGTTGCAGGATGAAAGGTGCAAGCGGAGAAATCCTGGTCAACGGCAAAACTCGATTACCTTATAGTGAACGATGGAAAAAAAGTTCGTGCTACATACAGCAGAATTCTATGCTCAGAACGCAAATAACTGTAGGGGAGGCAATGACAGTGACTGCTAATTTGAAACTCGGTTACTCAATAAGCTCTGCTTATAAGCACTCGCAGGTTTGTTATAATTGACTACTTATCATATCGAGATTGACTTTTTTAACTTTTGGCGCTGTTGACATCGAATCTATAAGACTCGAAACGATCTCAAAGCACGATATTTTAAAACTCACTTGCATATGTAGATTTACGCGCTGAATGGCTAGGGAGTAGCGACACCTTCGTTCTCTCTTAAGTAATTTAAATAATTTGCTATCTTTAAATAATTTAAATAATATGTACACCAAAGAGATGGTGCCTATAGTTTTGTAATTGCTCCAATTTCAAATTCAGTTCTATAAGACGTCAACGACACTGTAATTTTTTGGCACGACAACGGTGCAAGATTAATAAGTTGAATATTTTTCTTTAACTTCATCTTTAAAATAAGGATCTTGTTTGATCTTGAAAGATCGCTTGAAAAAGAATTTGATCAATTTTATTTCAGATACGATATACGTTTTGCTTTGCAATTTCATTATTAATTAATATCTAACGACTTATTCATCCTCTCTTATGAAACCCTAATATTATTTTTTGTCAACTTGTTTTATTTATTTATTTAACTCATGATATTTTATGTTTGTTTAATACGCAGATTTTGAAACTATTAGAAATGTTAGGATTGACCCATTGTTACGATACATTATGCGGGAAATTATCAGGAGGTCAAAAAAAGCGACTCGATATTGCCTTGGAACTTCTAACCAATCCTTCAGTATTATTTCTGGATGAGCCGACAACTGGTAAGTAATGTAAATGACATTTATCAAATCTTTAGTTAAAATTTATCATAAATGAAATCTACGGATTTAATCCTTGCCAGTGAATTCTTGGTAATTTTATGTAATATCACAAATATGATTGAAATGGCTAAGCAGGTCTAGGAATAATAGAAAAAGTAGAATTGCAAAAACTTGACATAAAATATTATTGAAGAAATGAGATAAAAAACATAATAGTGCTCAACTGTAACTTTCTGGATTGTTAATACACCTGAGATATTAAGTATTATAATTCCCAGAAATATTTGAATGACTTATAAGGAGCCAAGCATGGATGTCTTAGTGCCATTAGATATTAATACTACTTTAATAATATTAATATGATAGTGGGAGGATAATATGTTCAGCATGTGTGTCAAACGCACGTATCGAAATTTTCTCAATCATCGTACGTGGCGAATCAACCTTCCACACTTAGATCGATCCTTGAGTTCCAAACTTATATATATATATATATATATATATATATATATATATATATATTTATATTCTCAAAACCCCCATTAAACCGATGACTCAAATAGATTCATTTTATATGTTGCGAAAAAACTGCCTCCGCCAGGACTCGAATCTAGAACTTCCCCACTTTCCGGGCGGGACACTTTTCCATTTGGCCACCGAGGCTTCGACAGTCCTCTCGCAATACAATGTTTATAAATTCTCTAAGGTATAAGTCAAGAGAGAAAGAAAGAAAGAAAAAGTCGATCTCGTAAGAGATGTTATTATACAAGAGAGATAACGTATTCTGCCGCCATGTTTTTAAGATAAACTGAAATTATAGAAAACTCCTTGAATAACTAATAGAAATATTTGAATGGCCTATAAGGAGCCAAGCATAGATGTCTTAGTGCCATTAGATATTAATACTGACATGCTGGACACATTATCCTCCCACTATCATATTAATATTATTAAAGTAGTATTAATATCTAATGGCACTAAAAGATCCGTGCTTGGCTCTTTATAGGCCATTCAAATATTTCTGTTAGTTATTCAAGAAGCTTTCTATAATTTCGGGTTATTATAATTCCATTCATAATCGTTTTCACTAAACCGTATTATAATCATTACATGTATAAAAAAACACGTGGAGAACACCTCGTTAAAATAGAAAAAATAGTAATATATTGAATTTATAGTTATTAATCGCAATTAATGGGAAACACACAATAACATCTATTATTCCATCATAATAACAGACATGATAACAATTATTAACGATGATAATCTAATATCCTACAATGAGCAGGTTCTGCTCATTTGCTTTGGATTATATAGCAAAAAAGTCTCGTGACGGTGCATTCTGTCTCGTAACGAGCGACAATCACAAGTCGCAGAATTTCGCAATCACCTGTCGCAACCTACGATGTGTATTTCCGTTTACTTCACTTCCAACTTCAATTATACTTGCTTAATACTTAATACCGCAAACATGCAAACTGAAATCTATTACGGACATTTGCTTCACAATTATTATAACTAATTGCTATATTATCGACTCAATGGTCTTTCTAGCGCCTTGAAGTAATGCAAAAGTAAAGTATAAAACATTTAAGGAAATCATGGATAAAAAATATCAATATCGTGTCTTATTTTTTTCGCGTAGTATCATAATCCAACTCAATAACTTCTCTAAAAAAGAAAATTTATCTTTATTGAAAAGTTTCAAGATGAAAATATTTTTATCTCAGAATTATGTAACTTAAGAGATTATTGAAATTACTTCAATGGGTCTGGTTTTTCTAGGTTTGGATGCCTCCTCGTGCAGCCAATGTGTCGCACTTCTGAAACGGTTGGCTGAAGTAGAAAGACGTACGGTAATTTGTACGATTCATCAGCCGAGTGCTTTACTCCTCGAAATGTTCGATTCTTTATACGTGGTAACTAATGGCTACTGTATATACAGAGGTCCAACAAATTCCTTGTTACCGCACTTAGCCTCCATCGGCGCCAACTGCCCGCCTTACCATAATCCAGCAGATTTTCGTAAGTAAAATAATTTAGATATACGCATAAAGTACTATCTGTTATTGCTACTGATGGTGATCGACAAACATAAGAAGTTTAAGCGAATCAAATCCATTTTCTGTAAAAAATTATTTTCTAAATATAAAATTATATGCAGAGTAGACTTTCCATGTTGCAAAAATACAAAACATCCGTTAACCCGTCAGTTAATACTTTGAAATGAATGTAGAAAATATAGTTCCTCTTTTGTTGCCGAACCTATTTAAATATATTTAGTAATTACAGTTACTTTAATTTTTTATATATCATATCTGTATGACACTATGAAAGATTGAATTTGGTCCATTTTCTCGTCATAATTTCTACACTTTACGCATTATATTATCAGTAGCGCGAATTAAATAAATTGATAATAAATATTTTGATATCTGTATATGATATTATATATTAACATTTGTTAATATTTATTTAAAAATATTATATAACGGGCAATAGAACGAATAGTTCTAGATAAATAGAAACAATCATAATTTTAGAAACCATAAATTAATAAATAAGTGCTTGAATTTACTCAGTTCTCGAAGTGGCAATCGGCGAATACGGTATTGATCTCGACAAGTTGGTGTTAGCAGCGCAGACGATACAGGATAATCAGAAACCAATTGCTTTTACCACAGCGCTGTCTGAAGAAAGTAAGATCTTCTTTTTCTTTTCAGATATTTATTTTTATCGTAAACCCAAATTTCTTGTGAATCTTAAAATATCTGAAGACGATATACTGAAGACGTGAATACAGCTATCATATCTCAAATAATAAAAATGTTCAACAAATATATATATATATATATATATATATATATATATATATATCGAGACAATAATTACTTGTATATACGTGATCAATTTAATATAAATATTATAAATATACAATGTGCGCGCGGAGTGTTCAAAGATCTTTGATGCTTTATGAATGTTTTATTATAATAAAATTTATATTAATTCATTATTTAATTTAATCTATAAAAATCAAATATTTTGCATTCGCAGTAGGCAGAAAGATTGTTTTTTGTAAAATTTACATAAATATCTAAAGCGATCTAAAGTGCACATATTTTAAATATCATTCTCATTTTCGTAATTCTTACTTTATGTCTAAACTTTATATGCAAAACGTATATTTCGTTTCGTTGAAAAGTTTTAAAAGTATTGATCAATATTGATTTTTATATATATATATGTGATATCAGGAAGCAATATCAAAGATTCGCCACAACCTGCTGGATTCCTAACGCAGTGTTATCTTCTATACAAAAGGCAACTGTTATGCTTAAAAAGGGATTATACTTTGCTGATGGCGCGAATACTCTGTCACTTATTAATTGGCGTGATCTTCGGTTATCTATACATGGGAAGCGGTTATCGAGCAAATGGTGTCCTTGCGAATTATGTTTATATATATGGGTCAATGCTTCTTATCGTCTACACCGGTAAAATGGCTGTTACTCTTGCCTGTAAGTACCTAAGTGAATTAAATGGTTTAAATAAGTATTCGGTTATGCAGTGCGTTATTAATGCTCGAAAGGCAATGTGTATCGTTACATTTAGGAGTAAATAGCTGCTTTCTATTTCTGTCTATCAGTAATTTATGATTATTGAATAACATAAAAATATTTTATTATTACAAATACTATTTTATTTTTATTGTTACCACTTTACAGGTTTATTGTAAGAAATAATAAGACTTTTAAGAAGATACTTTTTAAAACTTAGGAAAATAATATAACTTTCTATGTATATAATAGAAGTATGCAATGTTATACAAAAGACTTATTATATAATAATTGATTGGTAGAATATTAATAAAATTATATAAATATTCTATCTTTAATTATCCACATAATGTTCTATAAGTGTTAAACTTATAAGATCTTATTATAAATTTTATTATAAAGATAAATTTTTCGTTATAAATTTTATAAAAATTATATTAATATTGATTTTAAAAAATTAGTTTATCATTTATTAAAAATTTGTCTATTATTTATCATATTATTATATGTATCGTACATTTATATATTACTTTAATCTAATATATATAACGTAGCAGCTTATGTCCTGTTAATAACAATTATATAGATGCAATTATTATTTTTAATACACACATATACACATAACAATAATTTCATTGAACAGGAATAAATTATTTTTTCTTACACATGTAATATGAAGTGATTACGGCAAAATAATATTGAAAGCCAGATTTCACCAGTTTGTTTCATTTCGCAATTTCATATAATTTATCATAACAAAACCGGATTTCGTAATGATTTCACTATTAATTTGGTTCATGAAATCCACGTATTTATTTGTTTCTAAATTTGATTAACTACTCGAGATATTCATCGTTACACAGCTAAAAATATCATCGTCAATTTCTCTATCCTTCGAAATGTCATAGTATTAATCAATAATAATTATCTACGTTGTTACTTCATATATAATTTCACACATCGCAATATTCGTGCAATATTCGCAAACGCTCTGTCATTATGTCGAAATGTAGGTCAAGGAAACGTGCGCGAATATCTCTTTTATAGTTGTCACGATTAAGTTTGCAGGAGAGAACTCCATTACCTTAGTACGGATTAGTAACATATTTATACACAGACATTAAATATATATAATCATAAATATATATAGATTCGTTTGAACGGTCAAATGACTTATGACTTTTCATAAGATGACATCTATATATAAAATATATATAAGATGACTCATTACTTATAACGTTATCTAACAAATTCGAATTTTATAATTCTGCATAACTTTTTTATGGGCTAGAATATGAGAAATTGAAATTTTCAGTAGAAATGATAAATTCAGATAAAGTCACATAATTTTAATAAAATTTATTTAGATTTCTATCAATCTTTATCGGATTTTTAAAGCAAAAACGTATATGTTGCGTGGAATGTATCCATTTACACGATATATAAAATGAAATTCGTACAACAAAAAGAGAGGGAGAAAAAATATATATATGTATATATAGTTATATATTATATTGATAATATTTATTATGAACTTATATATACTGCGATTTTTGTTATATATGTCGAAATTTAATTTATTTTAGTTCCAGTGGAAATGCAGATTCTCACAAGGGAGCATTTTAACCGTTGGTACAAGCTAGCACCATATTATATTAGTGTGTTACTCGTCGAAATACCTTTCCAGGCGGCTTGTGTGATAATGTATTTGACTGTGAGTTACTGTTTGACTGGCCAACCTATGGAAACGCACCGCATAATTTTGTTTGTGGTCTTCAGTATAGCTGCTAGTTTAACAGCACAAGCGTGGGGATTCTTTATTGGCGCTACCACACCAATTAAGGTAAATTTGGCGTTTTATATATATATATTCTCTTCCCTAAAGATATTTGTACAAGTTCTGAATCTGGAATTCTACAACTCGATAGATTTATTGATTAATACGATCATCGATTCAAATGTTTCCATATTTGCAGCTATATACGTAGATAATGCATAGATCGAAGGCGCAAGTCTATGTGGCCGATAATTCGATGAACTCATAATTCGATTTGCATAATTAAAAATTTTTAAGTTTTCATGTAATTATATGTAAAAACTTATATTTTTTTGTTTCATTAATCTAAAAGAAACACAATGTAAATGTATAAATCTGTGAAAATGTGTGACTGTTTTAATGTGTTTTAAAATTATATATATGTAAATGTAATCTCTGTGTGTGAAAAATGCAGATTAATAATTAGATTAAGATAATAATAATTAGATAGCATAATTAGATTAATAATTTTTAAATTCATTACACCAAAATATATGCGAAAAAAAAAGTATTAAACTTTATAATTTTTTACAGATCGCAGTATTTCTTGGTCCTATAATTGCAGTATTGTTCTCCGTCTTCGGTTTCAGCGCTCGTTACATAGACACTCCAGTTTATTTCCGCTGGATGTTTCACATATCGTATTTTCGAGCAGGTTTCCACGGTTTAGTGTATACCATATATGGATTCGACAGGACGGAATTGAAATGCGACGACATATACTGTCACTTTAAGAAACCCGTTAAGTTCCTCAAAGAGATGGATATCAACAACGAAAACATAGTGAATAATTTAGTACTGATTCTTGGCATTGGAGTATTGATGCATCTTTTAACTGCCAGTGCATTATGGTGCAAACTCAATAGAAGATAAATTAAATTCTCCTATCTCATCGACAGAGTATTTTAACATTTTATAGGGTTACTTTGAAGAATAATTCTGTCACAAACTTCTCTACGTTCGTGCAAAATATGGAAATGTAACGAAATCTCAATATAAATATTCCATTGGAAATTTCCACTGAGAATTAAAAAGTGCACGAAGGAAAGTTATTCAGAGAGACGACGTTACTATATTCTGCTAAAATTCCTGTCTTAAACTCTTATATTTTCATGTTGCTTATTGAAATGTATTTTTAAAATCATTTCATTTTGGGAATGTTCTCTAATTTTACATAAGAATCTTAAGCTCTTACATTAGAACTACTAATAATTAACGGTCCATTTCTACTAGAGCACTCAAAAATCTCAAAATGACGTTTTTTTAAGGAATACTTAATGCGAAGGAAAAAATGTTTATTTATTTTTTAATTTTATTTAATGTCAATTAAACATGTATTATTACAAAATATAATAATACAAAATATAATACATAAAATGTATTATTACAAACTTGAAAATTTTTATAAAAAAATTACAAATTAGTGTGTATGTCACATATCTTAATTGATTTATGCCCATTTCTACCAACTTTGGTTAACTTAACCAGCTTGTTATTCCAACGGAATTGACCAATTGCATCTATCAAGTCTGACTAACGAGAAATGTGATTGATCAATTCTATTGGAATAACCAACCGGTTAAGGTAACCAAAGTTGGTAGAAACGAACATTAGTAGTTCTAGTGTTAAATTTTGGTGCAACTTTCATAATGTTTTGCTATCCACACAATGTGCCTACTTGAATACATAGAATATCAAAAAGTAATTAGAAATATTTCATTTATTTTAACATTCTCGTATATTAAGGCAGATAAACACTTTTTAAACCTAAAAACAGCTTTTTAGTGTTTATCTCCCTTAATATTATATTTTATATACTTCATAGTAATTTTTATATTAACATTGAATTTTATGAACGTATTACCTGAGGTATATTACCAACACTTGCGCCAGTGTTTCAAAGTTGAATTATATTCTATTTAATGAAATAAAATGCTAATCGAAGATTATTAACACATCGATTACAACCGTTGAACATCGAACACAAACCATTGTAATTGTTAATAACCTTTGAAATTAATTATTCTGACAACGATACATATACGGAAGTTATAGATATATATGATATATTTGAGGACTAACATAAGAAGAGACCTGTATAAATCTGAGTGTCTATATGTACATAGTTCTGAAACTTACATGACATTGCGATGGTATTATAGTTTATATTCACATTGTGAAAAGTATATATTTAATGATTTAAGGAGGATAATAAACTATCTAGTGTAAAAACGTGTAACGTAATACTGTAGTACGTGTACTGTAGTACGTATGATATATTATAGTGCGCTAAACTATATAGTTTATACTATAGTATAAACTTTGTAATGTTTATGTAATTTGTTTTTAAAATGTTATTTACGATATATACAAAATTATCTATAAAAATGTAAATGTTTTGTTAAATAAAATTATATTATTTGTACAATACGTAATATGAATATGATCCTTTCTCCAAGAGAATATAGCTAATCTTATATTTTGCAGAACTTCCTGGGAAACAAAGCAGAAATATTAGAGATTGCCGATTTTGCTTTCAAAAAGTGATTATTACACGTCTTATTTTTACACTGGTTTTTCTTTGAAGTTATATTTAATATGATCAGAAAATGATCAGAAAATACAAAAAATTATTGAATAGACATATATATAGTTTAATTTTCTTTATTTCATATTATATATGTTACTTTTACAATTTTGATACACATATACAAATCTTTATATAATTCCAAAGATGACGTAATTCTATTGTTAACTCAACTATTTAAATCCCCAATTATATCTACTATAAGATGTGAAATTTGAAGTTTTGCTGATAATTGCTTTTAATTGAAGAAAACTTATGATATTATTTATATGTGTATTTTGATAATACATTTTAATAATAAATTTACTAGTAACATACAATTATATTATCTAGATAACACAAGTCTCAAAAACATTCAGGATGCTTTGACAAGTGTCCTAAGACGTCTTCATACGCGATAATCTCAGAACGTTTTGTGCAATCTGGATATAATGTTTTTGAAAACTTTATAGTACTGTTTTACAAAAAATAAAAGATAATTGATATATTCAAATGCATCTTTAGTTAATAATGTACAGATATAATACACATATTGCTTTCTCGATTCAATTTTTGATCTCGTGGAATTTCTTCTATCTTTTGTAAACTTGTATCTTAGCAAATCTTCAGGATAGCGAAATTTTTACTATTAGGAATTTTATAGTAACTGGGAGAAATTATAATTAAAGAGTGCTAAATCTAAAGTATATGACCTATAAGGCAAATGGAATCAGTATTGAGTGGTCATAAACTCAGTCAAATAATAAAGCAAACGTTTAAATTCAATCAATTTTTGTTTCAAATCGCTATAACATCATAAATGGAGTGATTATCCATCAAGCACAATTATATAATATAATATAAGTAACAATATAATATATTATATAATTATATTATATTATATTATATAAATAACAATTATATAACTTAATTATAATTTTTGTTAGTTATAATTGTTAGTTATAATTTCTCACTCAAAAATATAACTGTTATATACTGTTATAATGCGTGTGTTATATAAGTTATATTGTTAAGTGGAAAATTATAATTAACAGTTATACAACTATTATTTGGTGTTTGCTAGGTAATGATTATATCGATCTACGCTTTCGATCGGCTAGCGCTGCAGCAAAATGTAGATATATGTCATGGCGCAACTTGTAAACGAAATGCAAAACGCAGCTATTATTTCCGGAAAGTTATTTTGCACTGTACGCAACGACACGTAGCGAATCCGGCTCGCTACGATATAAAAATATTGAACGAAAAACCGAAAAACATGTTATAAAAATAAAAGTGCATCTGAAATATCTTGTACGTTAAATGTCAAAAGAATGATATCAATGTGCATAAAATGATGAATCGAATTGTTAGTTTACTCTGTAATTGACCCATTATTACTCTGTTATGACTCATTATTACATAATTTACAACAATAACTCGTATTAAGATTATAAGTAAATTGGACACAAAACAATATGTTTGTACAGCTTTCGCTTTGTATCATGTGATATATGTTTTGCATACATATTGTTATATAAAGATTCGTTCAGCGTTAGAATTAGAATTTAGCGTGTTAATATTGTGACCAGTTCCTCTCATTGGTTAGTTATATCTTCATTTTTAAATGCTAATTATATTCGGTACATTTTTTGTCAAGTATTGTTACATTAGACAATTAAAATCCATAGATTGTCATTAGACGACAACGGAGGCACCCCCACTAGCACGAGTTCATCCGACAACCCAAGAAACTCATTGATAAAAAGCTCACTTAGTAATTATCACCAGTTTATCATTTAAAGACACTGTTTGATGGCAGATGATAAACACACACTATTAATTGTGACTCGAGATTTACACAAAATTTACTTTGTATGCGTACATTGTACTATATATCTGGACATTATTTTTATATGTAGACGTCGATTCTAATTGTATAATATTTATAAAACACTAAAGAGGATTACTCAGTGGCCAAAGAACTGTTGATGTTATTTTTGCTACACAATACATAAAAAATTATACTAATAACTTCGGTAGGAATTTTACTTGCCGTTTAGTTTTGTGTTTAAATATATTTTCAGAAATGCTATATTTTATTATTTGAAATAAATATTACCATCACATACCACTGTCTTCCGTTACTTTTCATTTGTCGCTATTACGAATGTATTTTTATCTGAAACTACGATTGACCTTCTAAAGTAATTAAACTATAGACATAAGTAACGATGAACAATGGTATATTTTGTACTATACTTTGAGCAATAAGTAATATATTTTATATAAATTAGTGAAAATTAATTTGTGAACGAGTGGTTATTTGTTTTACAATTTCTTTATTTCTAATATATGATCTCCTCTTTAGAGTTTACAGTAAAATTTATGTTCAGTAAAAGCTTTTAAGCAATTACTGTAACAGAAACGAAAAATTTGCTTTACAATACTACGGATATTTATAAGTTACATTGAACTTAATCAGGATTCATGTGCGATGATACAAGTATTTACTGTTTTCGTAATTAAATTTACTATATATGTGTTTAATATAACAAGCATTGCCTACAGAATTATATTTATGTCTATTTAATAATAATAGTGATAATAATCACATCGCAGTCTTGTTAACTTGTATATATTTACTTAGAATATTCTTGGTTGTGTTCATAATTTTTTTCTTATGCAAATACTATAAACATAGATACTATATGCAAAACTAATATCGCGATTACTGCAATTACTGTGAAAAAAAAGTAATACTGTATTTGTAGCTAGCATGCTCTTTCTTTCTATTTTTCTCTCTGTATAGCTTTAAGTATTAAAACAGATTAAAAATAGCGACTAGAAATAAAATTAATGAAAGACTCAAGTGCATATACGATTTTCCAAGTTGTATGCCTATTTCAGTTATAAATTATATATTGTAAACTAATATATTTTTATATTAAGTTAATCAAAATATTCGTTCATCTTTTTTGTTTTATTAGCGCATTTAAATTCATGTAGGAAAAAACGGACGAATTTTTCGATGAACTTAATATATGTATATATACATATATTGGATATATGTATATAATATACATACATATATTGGATGTATGTATGTAATATACATACATATATTGGATATATGTATGTAATATACACGCATACATATATTTTTTGTTATAATGTATATATGTATACATTGTATATATATACATATACACGTTAATATAAAATTGCATATGTCGTATCTATATCGTATTTACATCATTGTAAATAATGAAGATTAAAATAACTCGAGAAAATATTGTAGATAATGTATAACTATTTTTATAATCTCTTTGCAGTTTACCGTTTCCCTTTACTTTACACTTTACGTAATAATAATCATAAATAACTAGCTTTATCTTGTTTGTCAATGTTCAAATATTTTCTAATCAATTAGACATGCGTATATATGAATAGGGATTGCATATTTATATTTTGATTTTATACAAAATTATATTAGTGAAAATGGTAAGCTGCTTATCGAAATTCAATTAATTGCATAATATCTCGAGTCATTTGTAAGCAACTATTGAACCTTCTTTAATAATATTTCGATATATTTAAAATCTTTTTATCAGTAGGTTCAATCGTATGTATCTGAATAATATTTAAATATCTTATCTTGATGAACACAAATATTTGTAACACACAAATTACGATATTACATTTATTTACATATATTCTTAAAACGGAATAAAATTCTATATGCACATGATTGCTTAATTGTCAAAATTACGTAATATAATTTACTACGGAAACCAACATACATAAGTATTTCTCATATATTTAAAAAATATGTTACTTGCGCATTGCTATGTTCCTGTAAATTGCTGTAATATTAATCGTTCTTTTCTGGTTTATATAATTCAATAGATATAAGACAATAAACATTTCACCAAATATGGAACATTTTAATAGCAAAGTTTAACTATTAAGTAACATTGATATTAGCATTTATTGAAATCAAAAGATTTTTGTGAAGTTTTATCAATATAACTTACTATTATACATGTATACATACAATTATGATACCTATCACACTGATAAAATGGTATGACAATATATGGAATACATTACACAAATTATTATGCGAACAAAATACTGCAAATTAATAATTTAAATAAAACAGACAGTGATCATTTCTTCATCGTTCAAAATATCAATTAACTAAAATAAAAATTATCAAATGTAAGAAAAACATAGTCTGATCAGTTCTCGGTGCTGAATATACTCAAGAAGGACTAATCGCGAATACTAAATATATTTCTTGAATTTTATAGTGTACATAATATTTACAATAACTTTATGCTTTGTAGTTTTCTGTAGTTTTATTATTATTTACATCCGATTATTTCTGGTTATTCGTAAGTTTTCGATTGTTTCACTTTTCATTGTGTCTCTGTTTCATCCTCCGTGCCATAAAGATGATCCCGGTGCTTCATTTCAGTTGCAATAGACTTTAATAAATCAACGGAAAAACAGAGAAATAAATGTAAGAATAACGTAAAAAACTAACGAAAGATTAATTCATAAAGTAAACAAAATAAGCCACTTTAATTAATGTTACATTGTAACATTACTTTTAGATTGAACTCACCAATCGAGAACGCACTCTTTTTGGCATATCTTCTTGCAAACTGTATATCTCGTTGCGTGTTAAAGTGAGCTCGGAGTTATCTTCAAAAGTTACCTAAAAAAATAATATTATAAATATACATGCGTACGTATTGTCTATGAGGAATGCATGATATCAAATTACATTTTTCTTTTTATATAATAAGTACTTACTGTAAACATTAGTCGGTGATTTGTACCTTCGAAGATAGCATCATACGTTTGGCCATCTGTCCAATTTACGGTCACTGGAGCTCCGAGCGGAGGTGTGTTTCCAGGGTCATAATTCTAATTACATTTCAGAAATTATATAAAGCATATGCGCCAAATACAATATATCTATATATGAATTTCATTTTCAAACAATAAAGATTCATTGAATTAATTGATAAAGTAAATTGTATAAAAACACTCACAGTTACATCTGATGGATACAGATCATCACTAAAGCTATTGTCGCTAAACGTAACCATATAGAATGTTTTGACCTGGATAGATTTCACTTTAGCTTTATAATATCGGAAATTACGATGTTTTGCCCATACAGTTTCTTCCAGAAGTATTGGAATTTTTTCTTTACCATTGCCGTGTCCGTTACATGTTACCTGGATGATACATACGTTACAAATATTAACGTTTGTATGTGTATACGTATTTGCACGTTCATATAATGTTATGTTTTAAGACTGTGGAATTTTAACTCTTATAATCCGGGCGGTTTCTTGGACGACTTTTTTAGTCTTCGAACTAGAACTTTTTCGTACATGCTAAAGATAGAGTAGACTAGCAAAAAATATAACACCTCCGCCAGACCATTAGAGCGGTTTCTTGAATTGTAAGGGTTGTATCTTATAAATAAACTATATCATACTTGAAGTTCCTGCGTGTTGTATGCTGGAATAGTGAATGTTGCACCCGCGACAAGTCCGCATGATGGATGAAACATGTTAGTACACTGATTACAAGTCAGACAAGCTCCACCTTGTCGTTCACAAAAGCAACATTTTTTGTGGCATGTATCTGCCATGATCGTCAATACATTGATGGGGTCTTTGTTGATAGCATCTTTGAAAGTAGCACCCGGTACCATAAGTGTACAAAGGATGTGCGCCCACCTGCTATCGCTGGTTCGTTTCATAGCACCGCCATACATTGGACATAAACAACACATCTGTCACGAAGTAATCAAAATTAGATACATAAATTTTGATAGATTTAAAAAAATGAGAAGAAAAAGAAATAAACATACCACATCATTTCTACCAGCTTTACATTTGTCACAAGCCCAATTGTGAATATCCGTGGGTAATACGGTTATACCGTAACAAGATGCATGGACAGTTACTTGACATTCTCTACATCGTAAAAGTTTCTCATTTTCTGGTTCCACAGCTTGTTCCTTGGAGTTGGCTGCGAAAAGATTGGCTGACACCTATGTAATATATATATATTAATGTTGTATTTTTGTAATTTATTGAGTATATTCAAATTAATCAATGTTTTTTATAAAAACTTTCTTACCCATATTGGTGTACTTTCGGGTAAAGTAGTTGATTTACAATATTTCCAATCAGGTGGCATTACTCTACTACTCCCGTTACTACACGAAGCAAAAGTAGCGCATACTGCGCAATGAGATATTTGAGCGCTCCAGTAATCATTGAACGCCCTCAACAGATCACTATTTGGGACGTTTGGATAAATCATGTCGGAAATATGTCCTGGTATCACCAACGTCGTTTGAACATTGCAGGATTGTAGTACATTGGCCTCTTGTATCAACGCGGATTGCTCCTTTGTAATTTCACTTGTTGTAGTAGTTGGTAATTTCTTCTTTTCCATCGTAATTTTTTTCGATTTTTCCTTAGATTTTCTCCTTACGGTGGTTACTTTTTTTGATTTCTGATTAGGTATTGATAAATATGGATTAATATTGTCCATTTGTTTTTCTAAATTTGGTAATTGTGTCTTATTGTCAGGTATACTTGAACACTCATTCTGATTACACTGGGCAAGATTAGCTACAACCGAGTTGACATCTGATGAGGACTCATTATTTAAATGTGTCGCATGTTGTGCAATATCATCTCTAACTGCTTCCAAGGAAATATTTATATAAGGCGGATCAACCAATACATCGATTGGCTTGTTTACTTGTATACCAACCGAAGTACTCGCAATATTCTTTTGAGACATGTTTGAAGATGTATTATTATTCATCTTGTTTATACTCTTTGCTGATGGTCTCTTACGCCCTCCCCTTTGCGACTTTTGACATGATTGATTTTTATATCCTTTTGACACGATAGTGGCTTTCGTATGCAAGTTCGGAGGAGTTGAGAAGTTCGCACTACTTAGCATATATGTTTTTTTAGAATTTACAGATGTTATCTGAGTGGGACTGTAAATCTTGTTCATAGGATGCGTTTGCACAGTCGATACATTTGCTGGCAGAATTAAGCTTGATACTGGAGAAGAAATACATATATTTTCTGGTTTACTCACTGCAGATATAGGAGCTATTCTAACAATGTTTGCTTGTTCATTGGTATTCAATGAGTTACTTCCCCAATTAATAAGTGCCTTGCAGCTACTCGAAGAATTTGGTTTTTTGGGCCTTATCTCAGCGAGATGGTTAAATGTTGGCCTATCAAACCTTGCCAAGCAATTATTGAAAACGGAATGTCCTGCATTAATCTTGTTAATAACAGTGCCAGCTGGTAATTGATAATTTCCTAACGGTGATTTAAAATTCACAGATTTTATAACGTCGCACCGTGACATACTTTCATTTTGCAAAATTGAAGGACCTTTACTATAAATTGGGTTCGTTAAAAACGACATACTCGGTACAGTTTTCGTTTCCTGCGTGGTCCACACCTTTGGTACATCAATAGTTGAGTATATATCTTTCTGGTTGGTAACAGAATTATCAACTTGTACTTGGGGTGTAACCCGTGATGCATCGTAAGCCGTTTTTAATACTCTTAACTTAGGTGCTTTTAATACATTTTTATAATTTGTACTCGTAGATGTATTTATATTATGCACAGTAGGTTTTACACTTTCACTCGGACAATCAGAGTTTGTACCTTTGTGTGCAACAGTACATACATTATGTATTATATTTGTTGCATTTCTGCTTACAGGTCGAATAGGAATATTTTTGATGTTCATTGTTGTACTAGTGGCTATTCTGTTCTCAACGGTATTGTTCATCAACTTCTCCATATTTTTGTCATCGCCGTGCGTCAGGTTTATCATTTGACCACTATTAGTGATATTTACGACAGTTTTATCTTTGACGTTTATCATGCTAACCTCATTACCAACAGAAATGATATTTCCAGGTAACATGTTGACTTTTCCTTGATTATTAGAGATATCCTTTATAGAACATCTTGGAATACAGATCTCTGGTAGTGTTACATTTTTACAGTCGGTCTCCGGAATATTGAAAGTTGAAGCATGACCAAAAGTTGATGCGCTATCTTGTTTGCGTTTACTTTTGGACACGTGTCTCGGTTTAATTTTTTTCTGCTCGTTATGCTTTGAATGCTTCTTTTTCTTCTTGACATGTTTATCATTACTTTCTGAAAAGTCGGTAAATTCTTCTATCTTCAAAGGATCATCTTTTTCTATAATAATGCTGTCGTTATAACTTCCTTGAAGCACTGGAATTTCATCGATATTTTCTTGGGACATATCTTCAAAGGAACCAGTCATGTCATCAACTTCAGTTTTTATCTCAAATTTAATTTCGCTCGTATTCTGTGTATTAACTTTGTTAGCTCGTTTCTTAGATTTTGATTCACGCTTCTCCTTATCTGGCACGCTTTGTTTTCTCTTTCTTTTCTTACTCTTCTTACGATTGTAACCATCGTCATAAACAGTTGCTTCATCAACATCTAAAAACGAGAATGTTTAATTAGTAAAAATATTTTAATGCAAACTACTATTCGCGTAAGGAAGAAAATACAAGAGTAAAAATAAAATTGTACCCATTTCTCCTGCTTTCAACCAAATATCTTCTAAAACTTCCATTTGTTGTTCATCAGGTGGTTCTTCAATTTCTTCCATTTCAAGATCTTGTAAGACTTTTTTAACATCCGGAGGAATATCTGCATAGCTTTCAAGTTCTTCCATATCAACATTAGGACTATTGACTCTAATACTCTTTTGCTTATGAATCATATGTCTCTTATTTTTAAGTGCTGCACTCAAATAGCTTTGTGGTAATTGACCATTGCTACTATTACTACATAGTAGATCCATTTGCGATGGCATTGGTGCAGCTGTTTGTCTGGGATCCTCAGGATGAGGTCCAATATCTTCACCACGCAACCATAATTCGTACCTTTAATACCAGAATTCATAATTATAACATCAGTAATATAAGACAAATATGTTGAGTTTTACAAATAATTACAAAGCTATTCATCAATTTCTAAATCAAGTGGTTACCTATCTGGTTGGAAACGCTTAACAAAAGTATCCATAGATATTTTGACCATGTCTTTGCTGCAAGTGCATTGTGTAGCTCTTTTTCCATATTCGACCCATCTAGGTGCTGCAAAATTAGTAGACTCGGCACAATTAAATCCATGATTAAAACCAGCATGATATCCATATGGAAATGTAATCATTATTTCCCCAGCCTCTTGTGTTATCTATGAAAATGAAAGTACATGAAACAGTTAAAAATAATTTGTAATATAAATTTAATTATATAAATTTTTAAGAATTTTTAATCAACTTACTTTGTTACACGGAATCGAATATTGTCTCAATATTTGAGGAGATATGAGAGACATCTTATGACGCAGAAAGGCTTGGCAGCTTTGATAACTCGAGGGGAAAAAACCACTGGCTAATCTTTCTAATCTACGTCCATGTTCTGGTGGTATAGCATACCATGTTTTTGGTGCGCCAAAATGTAAATAATTTATAGAATAAAGATCCATATCTTCTGTATGCCATGCAAATGTAGTCTTCCACATTCCAAAATACAAATAAGCTGTATTGACACCATCAATTGATATACCGTAATCTTTGTTAACATAATCTAAAATAGTCCCAAGATGATTGATATTCCATTCCTTTACATCTGGATCAGTCAAAGAACCAGATACATCTGCACCATATATCGGTGAAATGTATGTTATATTCTTCCAATATTTTCTTTCTAAATCTTCATAATCAAAGTGTCGTGGTGTACGATAACGATCAGAATTAGCTAATTTACAATACTCTTTGACAGTCATTGGTTTCTTTTGAATGTTAATTTGTTGATAAAGGCCTTGTTTGCCAGTGACAACTTGGCAGATTGGCGCTGGGATTGTGAGATTTAGATTATCTAATTCATAGCCTTCTTTTCTCGGAACCCATTCAGAAGGTGGTATTACTTTTGCTAAACCAGCCTTATGAGCTCCTTGGCTTTCCATATATTCAACATATCTCGAAAAGTCTTTGAACTCTTCGTACGTCGGTCTAAAGACCTGTATGCGAGGTATGCCTCTTGAATGGTTACTGGCCATTGCTGAATTTGTTACAACTAAAGATGAGAAAAATATATAATTATGAAAGTATTATGATATTATTACATAGAATAAACTTAATAGTTGCATATAAACAAAGGAAACATTTAAAAAGCAATTTGTAATTCTTATATTTAACTGATATATACTTTTTAGATAAATTTTTAAATATAGATAAATTTTTAGATTTTAAGTCTTGACTAATTCAGTTAATTAAATATTTTTAAATACAGTATGTAAAAATCACTATATATTTGTAATACAAATATATAAAGTTAATATCACTCTTATTAGAAGTAATTTTTGCAAAAAAATGTGTTTTAAAGATAACTATTAATACATTGTATCATACAAATTTAATTTCCTAACCTAAAAAACATTAATTTATTTTTTATAAAATGTTAAACAGAGCTATTTTAATTTTTAACGCTTTATTGTGACAAATCTTCGAATAAGTTTATTCTTATTCCAATATTTTTTAATTATTTTTCACATCTCAAATAAATCTTACCTTGTAGCAAAACTAATTTAAGGTTATGAATCATTAAGGTTAATGGATTTAATGTTGAAGATTTACAATATGTACGAAAAATATGATGTCAAACACATTTTCGATAAGGAAAAACTCCAGAAACATTCAAAATTTACAGGTCACACTATAATAATATAAAAAGTATAGTTGATTCGGGACACCCTGTATAGCGTCATTGATGCTCACGCGTCCAGCGACCATATCTTAAAACATGTCGCACAACAGTCATGCAATTCGCACACACAAAAAAAAGGGAAATTAACAGTAAGTGCATAAAATCGCTTGGTTACGCGAAAAGACGTACCGTATGATTTTTCTGATAATATGCTCGAAATGATTTAGCTAAAATAGGTTCAATGTTTTTGGAACGAAGCACGCGGAGGAGTTCGTAAACAAAATGGTAGTGATCTATTGTTATAAGACTCGCCTTAAACTGTACTTAGTAACTAATCGTCTGACGCAATCAACAATCGATTAGGTTGTATCATTGGCGAATTCCCGTGAAATTTTCCGACGCGAGTGATACGACGATGGATTATCAGACAACCAGCAACAGAGACGCTTGGTCATCAAAGTTCAGAGAGGAACGCCGAAGGAGATTAATCATGTTTGCGGAATAGCATTTCATACACATGCGAAAACCTATTTACTTACGTCACAAAACGCAAAGCAAGATCACCTCTCCTGTTTCTGTATCATGTTCCACGAGATCTCACGTTCGCCGGACACTTCTATGATTTGATCAGGTTGACACCATACACCATATACGCATACAACCACGGTGCTTATGATCCGCGCGTCGTTGATCGTGTGCTAAAGCGAAGATGGCGTTAGCAACGTAGGTATAGTCCCTTGTGCGCAACGACGGAAGCTCAATTTCTGCCATACTTAAAATTGGCCACACACACTTTTCGTAATAGTAACCGTAAAGACCAAATCACACTAGCGATTGGCGATTGATAATTGACGATTGAAGATTTGACCAATTGAAACAAACAAGCCAAGGTTGAAGCTCGTTGATTCGTCAAAATCTAATCTTCAATCGTCAATTTGAGTGTTACGTGGCAAATCCATAGTATCCATCGGATTGGTAATCCGATTAACCTAGAGAACTTTCTAGACAATTTACATCACTATGATTAATCCGATTAAAAATTCGATTGCTACACGTAAACACTCTTTGTGACTAGATTTTGACTTTAAAGGCCAGACTTTAAAGACTTAAAGGCAAATCATACTAGCGATTGGCGATTGACGATTGACAGTTAAAGATTAGATTTTAACGAATCAACAAGCTTCAGCCTTGGCTTACTTTGTTCCAATTGGTCAAGTTCCAATCTTCAATCGTCAATCATCTATCGCCAATCGTTAGTGTGATTTGACCTTAAGGCCTTTAAGGCCAAATCACACTAGCGATTGGCGATTGACAATTAACAATTAAAGATTAGATTTTAACAAATCAATAAGCTTCAGCCTTGGCTTGCTTTGTTCCAATTGGTCAAGTTCCAATCTTCAATCGTCAATCATCTATCGCCAATCGTTAGTGTGATTTGACCTTAAGGCCTTTAAGGCCAAATCACACTAGCGATTGGCGATTGACAATTAACAATTAAAGATTAGATTTTAACAAATCAATAAGCTTCAGCCTTGGCTTGCTTTGTTCCAATTGGTCAAGTTCCAATCTTCAATCGTCAATCATCTATTGCCAATCATTAGTGTGATTTGGCCTTAAGACGTAACGTAAGAATTGACCAATCATGTTGAGAATCGTCGAATTGTAAGGGCCGTGACACATAGAAAAACTTAAGCAGTAAGACGTAAGCAGTAAGCAAATTGACCAATCACAATCATTGATTCTTCTTACGGTCCAAAAATCAACGACTGTGATTGGCTGATTGGCTTACTGCTTACGTCTTACTGCTTAAGTTTTTCTATGTCACCAACTTTACGGTTAAAATTTTTCTACGTGCAAAGGCCCTTATACTCCCTCGCGCACAAATTTCCGTTACCGTAGACGTAAAGGTCGTTCTACATTAGTTGCTAGTCAATTGCAACTCTTGTTGCGACAGCCAATCAGAAGCATCAATAGCACCATTGATGCTTCTGATTGGCTGTCGCAATAAGAATTGCGTCTGCTTGCGATCGGCTTGCAACTAATGTAGAACGACCTTGAAAGGACGCTACATTGGAAATAAGTAGTAAGAAGTAGGAAGTAAGAGTAAGAAATTGACCAACCACAGTCGAATGTGAGAAGAATAATCAACTATGATTGGTTAATTTTTATTCTTAAGCCAGCGGCACACGATGCTTGTTTTCGTGTTGGATTGCTTGCTGGATGGAAATACTCTATTCTGATTAGTCCGTCTTCAGAAATGCACCAATCAGAATAGAGTATTTCAATCCAGCAAGCAATTCAGCACGAAAACAAGCATCGTGTGCCGCTGGCTTTACTTCCTACTTCTTATGGCTCCTGCACACAGTACGCGGTAACTCTTGTCGCGCGACGGAAATCCGCGCGACAGCTAATCAATATGTTGTTTTTCCGTAAGAGCTAGCAGATTATTACGGAAAACAGCATATTGATTGGCTGTCGAGCGAACTTCCGCCGCGCGGCAAGCATTACTGCGTCCTGTGTGCAAGAGCCATTACTGCTTATTTCCAATAGCTTGGTTTACATCGTACACTTGATACGCATACTAAATAATAACTTTCTATTAGATAATCTTAATATCGACAATGCATATCAATGGCAACGCATTCAATTAATACAATACGTTTTGTTGATGAGTATTATACCAGCTTAATATACCGTTGTTTATATACATCGTCGATATTAAAATTATCTAATAGAAAATTACTATTTAATACGCGTATCAAGTGCACGATGTAAACTAAGCCAATGTATACGTCCCTTAAGACGTAAACTTAAAACGGGTTCTACAATAGAAATCGTAGAGTCGTAAGTCGTAAAAATTGACAAATCACGGTCGATTATTCTTTTCATACTCGATCGTGATTGGTCAATTTCTACAATTTACGACTCTACGATTTCTATTGTAGACCCCGCTTTAAGCTGAAGAGTTAATTAGGATATTGCTTTATCTTTACATACTCTAGAAGAAAATAGAAATAATAGTGTAATTAGAACTAAGGCCTGGTCTTTACAATAGGGTTGTGTTCTTTTATTCGCAACAGATGCAGCCGATGTCATTCTATCTTTGTTTCACATTCGGTAAAATCGAAGGATAACATGACATCGGCTGCATCTGTTGCGAATAAAAGAACGCAGCCTAGGTGTTGTAGCTGTAAACCGTAAGAATTAGCCAATCATCTATGACATAGGTACTTCCGCTTTGTTCTTTTTTAATGGCGGCTGACGACACGACTTTCATTTAAGGTACTCTACTTGTTACATGGTGGGGAACGCATGCGTTGCGGTAGTTCTCATCGTCTTTCAGTAGCGAGGCAGATTTAAATTTTCTTCATTTGTCACGTACGAACTTTCTCCGAGTTGATATCTTTGAATACACTTCCGAAATGACCAACCTTGTGACCTTTCAACTCCTTTTCGGATGGCCTACGGGTATTTTTGCCAAAGATTGCACGAAATTATAAGTTAATGGTGATAAAATATTTATTTGTTTACTAACTGTTTAATTTTTATCGAAATTTTGCTCCAAAATGATGATTGTGGCATTTATTTACGAGTAGTTAGTTTGCCATATTATAATCTTCGAGTTATTGCAGAGAAATTTTTTAATCATTCGTTTTCTACTAAGAAATAAAATAAAGCACAAAGATGAATGAACAACGAGAAAAGGAATAAAATGCATTAGCATATCGCATCATAAATTTGTCATCGTCAAAGTTATTTGATCGATTATCTTTAATTTTCTTTTACTTTTTTTTTTCTTATGAAATTATCTTTGCACCAAGAGAAGGTTATTTTAGTACAAAAAGTCTAGTTTCTCACGTTTTCTTAATAAAGTCTGACTCTATTTAGTATTTTTCTCATATAAAATCCAGTCAAGATTAATGTTTAGTGAAATTTTCATATTAAAAGAGAAATAGTAGCATAGGATAACAGGAGAAATTTTCATGTCTTATCGTCGATCTTATTTCAGATAATCAAGAGTACATCCCGATAACGCGTGTCATGATAACGTGTGTCAATTCTTCATTAAATTATTACTGTAAACTTTGAACGGTGCTCCACAGTTACCGTTCACGATAGTTGAGAAAGGAAGCGTTCACATCGATTGAGCATCGAATTAGTTGCGTAAAATACAACGGCATCGTGATATATGCGACACGCGGAAAAAGGAAAACACGTATACTAAGCTTCGAATACGGTAACGCTTCATACCACTCAGTGAGTGCGCGCTTGTCGTCGTGATAAAGGCGCGTAGAATCGAACGAGAGTTATCTATCGTCAGACGGAAAGAAAGGAGGATATGAATTGTACGGGAACTCAACGAATTGGCATACGTGAGCCGAGCGAGGAACGCGCAGACACTGCGTTCGAAACTCAGAGCAACCATGAGCTCGCAGACATCGGTGGAGAAGTGGTGTAATCAGCAACAGCACACGAATATGGAATACACGACGACGACGTGCACCGAGAAGTTGCTTTACTTGCTCTTCGAGGATATTTCGTACAGCGTTCGGAAGAATATTCTAACAAGAGGTAATTAGATGTGAAATAATATACAAAATTCTCATAGAGATACAATGATTACATAGAAGAAGTGTTAGTTTGTGTAGTTGAGTGGGGATCGGGTGAAAAACTCGTTGACGAGAGATAACATCTTTGTTATTGCCGGAAACCTCTGTTCACTCTACCGAAAACATTTCTCTGCATTTTATGCACTTTATGTGCGTTAAAATTCAGTTGAGATAACTGAAAACAAATTAGAAATCTCCTACGGCAATCTTTCTATTTCTACAATTGCGACATGCAACCTTTCTTTTTTACCTATTTTTCCTCGTGATTTTGTCACATTAATTTTACGGCTTATCGCTGTTAAAGAAAAGTTTTCGGAATATTTCACAAACGTGCTCGATCGATCACAAATATCATTATATAGACATAATCTTTTATTTCCACGTATTCTTCAAGAATTTTGGACATAAGCTTTCTCGCTTTTGACGTCGTTAATTAAGATGGCTAAATACACATGAATCTTAAAAGACATTTGGAGAATCATACTGAATTAATTCTATTGACATTTCCATATAACTTGAATCAAATATATATAAGAAAAAGTAAGGTAAATGTACCAATCTCCGGATATTGTTATTACTTTTATATTTGAATATGAATATTTCAACTTTCAACATACATACCCAGATAGCCAAACCTGCGCGAACAGATTTCGAGCAGAGCTTGCTATCAACTTTTGATGGCAAATAGATAACAAATTTGATGCAGGATCTATTATATCAAATCTTGTTGCCAAATTGTCGCCAGATATGCGGCAGAGCTTATTGTCGGATTTTTGCTGCAAATTTGGCACCAATTGCCCGACAGCAAGATCTGTCGCCAAAACCGTAGCCTAATGTAGACACAGATAGCTATGGTTTTGCTATGGGTTTTTTATCAAATTTGCTGTCAATCTGCGCGTAGTCTGCGTTCAATTTGCTTACTGGGTCCAGGCATTGGGACATTTACCTTAACATCAAGATATAAATATATTTGCTGAAAAAAGTAAAAGGAGAGAGATACTAAATGAAGTATTTAGTGCTTAGTAATTTATTAAGTAGTATAAATATTTGTAGAAATAATTCTTTTGCTATTTTGAACAATGTAAATCACAGTAAATGAAAGGTATAAATTATACATAAAATATAAACAAATAAACAAAAACTTTACACATACAAATAATTTTTCTTCATTATTTGATAAAAAGCAAAAGTAAATTAGATGCATGAGTATATAAAAATTATTTTATAACATTATATCCTAGATAGCACAGAGATTTCGAAAAGGATGTAGTCGTATGTCACCAATTCTGAGCTCATTTTTAGGTGCAAAAAGAATTATTTTTACTGAACTGAATTCTGAAGAATTTTTTGCATCTAAAAATGAACTCAGAATTTTGGTGACATACGACTGAATTCTTTTTGATTTTTTTTTTAATTCTCTGTGCTATCTGAGGTAATACTGTATTTAATATCAGTTTTGTGTGCTCTATTTTGGCAATAAGATAACCTGGTATAAGATAAACATAATAATTATAATATGAATAAAACTAATTTATAAACTTGTTATTATTATTGATACAATTTTATATTTGATTTGTAGATTTATTCATTTTATGAAGGAGGAAATAATTTTTAGTAATTTCTAGTAATACATTTATAAAAATATGTATAAATATGTATAAATATTTTTAATCAAATCATAACATAATTTAATTCCAGAGAGAGTAACTATTGCATTTTAATTGTTACAACCAATTATTTTTCACTAAAAGCTTCATTTATATATTAAAAAATATAATAATAATAATAAATTTTATTCTTACTTCATAAATATGAAAATTGTGATAAAAATTGATTGTTCAAAAAACAAGTAACTTTGTACAGAAATACAAAAACTCATTAATCTTTATCGCGATTACTTTAAAATCGATAAGATACGCTAGCTACTTATTGTTCAATTTCATTCCAAAGTGTAGCAAGATATGATGTATGTCTCACTAGTTTATCATTTGTATTCGATTATTATCAGAATATCATTTATTCGACTGTAGAAAATCAATTAAATAATAAATACAAATATTTCTTTTTATAAGTTCTCTTTTTATTAAAAAATTAAAAGTTTACATGCACACATTATATACATGTGCTTCTATTTGTTACTAAATGTGCATATGTTAAACGCAATTATATCATATGTTTTTATTTGATACTATTAGTTAAAAAAAAGTAACTATATACAGTTTACATATCTATATCGATAAGTTGATATCAAGAAAATGAAAATAGTTTGAATGAATGTCAATGATACTCGACTATACATATCTGTTACAAATGTGAAATGAATTGTCAATAAATTAATAAGAACCCAGATAGCCAACTGTCTGTGAGTTTGCTGTGTTGTCGACAACAAACTGGAACTAATTTAAATAAACTAGGAACAAGGTGAGACAGCATTATATGTGTCGTATTGAACTTACGTGAATTCTAATTCAAATAACTGCAAATTAAATTAGAAATTTCGTCATCTAAGTATAAGCAATCATGTTGTTGCATTCAGTAATGCATTCATTACATGTTAACAAATATACAGCAAACATTTAACAATATCCGCTGTACATTAATTTACTCAAAATGTTCAATCACCTTTGGCTATCTGGGAATGAACTATTATTAGTAAGAATTTTAGTGTTATTGTAACTTTCGAATATTTTACGCATTTAATTTTCAAAAGTTTTATCGTTCTCTCGCTAAACTAATTATAAACTAAACACTAATTCAGCTTAATGTAGACTCGGAATCATGACACTTTAAGAAACATGCTGATTGCGAAACAAGAATAGTGCACAAATTCAAAACATGGCACATAAATCAATCACAAATCACGAGTTAAATCGTAAGATACAAATCGCATTATTGCGATTTATAATCATTATGTGTATTTGAAAGCACTATCATTGCATACAAATGTATTTTGAGAATGTACTATGGATCATGTATTAAAAACTTTCGTTTTAGTATATAAATACTTTATTTTTTAGCTGTATAACGAGAATACAAGTTACATTTTTATCGCAAAATCATTATACTTTGTTACCTTTTTACAGTTATTCGAGACCATTTTTTGCATATCCATATGCTACTAAATTGCTTTCTTTGTAAATATCGATATATTATTTTATTTTCTTTAGATATAAGAAAATTGTTACGCAATCTTAATGGCGACTTTCGGCCGGGCGAACTTACAGCAATTATGGGTCTTTCGGGTGCTGGGAAATCTACCTTAATGGATATCTTAACAGGTTTCACGTGAGTATGCATTTTGCATTATGCTCTAAGATTTCTGGTAAATTTTATCTCGATGATGGACAGAAAAAAAATATTTTGGAGTAAAAAATCTTGCAGCTTAGTCTTTGAACTTTATGTAAAAATTATTAAAAAACGAGAGAACTCCAAAGATGTATATAAAAAATAAAAAAGGGGCTAGTAGGAGTTCAAGCACAGAAGTTTTAGTATAAAATATAAAACTATAAACTATAAAACCTGAGGATATAGGTGAAAGTTCCATATGTTGGGGAACCAAGTAATTTATTGAACATTAAAAATATAAAACATCAAATGTTTCGGTCCATCCGTGGACCCTCTTCAGTGTAACATTTAATTTTAAACAATAAAGTATCAAGAATTTTACAAGACCTCAAAATCGTTTGCAACTGAGACTGGGAGGAAAGAATTGTAAGACATAAAATTTGGGAAACGATGTCTGTGTCGAAACATGCCTTCACTGTCCGTAACAACAGCAGTTATTCGCAAAAGCACTTAATAGGGTGCAGCGGTCGTACTGTTTAACCGAAAACAAAATTTACGTAAAATTTTTAATTTAAAAGATAAAGCCGAATAAACGTTAATAACATTGTCGCAGATAATCTTCCGAGTCTCGGCATCAATACAAACAAACTGTTTATATATATTGCGAACAATTTTGAGGTCTTGTAAAAGACCTCATCCACGTGTAAAAAATCCATCCACGGATGGATCGACACGTTTGATGTTTTATACTTTTAATGTTCAATAAATTACTTGGTTTCCCAACATATGGAACTTTCACCTATATTCTTAGGTTTTATAGCCCTAAAACTTCTGTGCCTGAACTCTTATTAGCCCCTTTTTTATTTTTATTTTATGTAAAAAGAAATAGAAACTCGATCGTTTGAAATTGTTAACTATTTCTTCGTAGAAATACATCAAGGCAATTAACACAATTAGAAATATAAGTTTATACGTTCACGACTTTTGTAGATTTTTACTTGTTTTTATATTATTTCAGAATCCAACAATATAGTGGAAAAACAAAAAAAAAGTAATAGAAAGTTTTGTTGGCTTTATAACTAATTATAAATTGTATCAAAGTAATATGGATTTAGGAAAACATATTTTGTTAATGTTATTTATTATTTTTTTTTGCACAAAATCAACTATTGATTTGTATTTAAACTTTTTATTGTACATTGATAGTTTGTGTATTATTTCGTCCGTTTTTGTGTCATACAGCTTATGATTTCTTGAAAAGTTGCTATAAATATATAACATATATAGAATGATAATCAGGCTATATTTAGTATCATATCACCTATTGAGTGATATCTATTGAGATTTATATCAAGACAATCTTGAAATTAAGTAGATTATTCACATATAATTTATAATATCACATGTCTAGCGTTAGTTAGATCGTGTGAAAATTGCGAGATTTCTTCCGGGCATGGGGACTACAGTCGCGTCAGTCTTATCTTAATTAATCTATTCTTGTAAAGAATGCGATCAAAAGTACACTTGTCCGCATAGTATCGGTAGAAAATCGCGGTACATGTGCACCGCGCATACGGACCCGTTCAAGGTTTTCGCAAGTATACTTTTTGTGCCGAGTCAATATCAATGTCCATTGTTTAAGCGCATCTATCGCGATGGACAGTCTGTCGCGATGACCGTGATATTGTGTCTCATTGCATCACTAATCGTCGGTGATTTCGTCTCAAAAGATGAATCAACAGATATGAAATCAGACAATTAAAAAAGTCGTGAAAAGTGATGGACAATAACGACAAATATTTTGAACAGTACCATACTGTTTTATTACTTTTAATAAAATAAATGCGGCTATAAATTCATCGAACTTTTACAAACTCTTAACTCTTAACAATAAGTGTTTACTTTTATGAATTTGTGTTACGATTGTTTTTAGCGAGGTAAAAAAGATTGATCAAATAATTTTATTTGGTTGAAAAAGAAAAAAATAAGAATGTAGAAGATTATTGACGTATACGATAATCTTCTACATTTTTATTTTTTTCTTTTTCAACCAAATAAAATTATCTGATCAATCTTTTTTACTTCGCTAAAAACAATCGTAACACACATTCATAAAAGTAAACACTTATTGTTATATTAAGAGTTTGTAAAAGTTCGATGAATTTTTAGCCGCATTTATTTTATTAAAAGTAATGAGACAGTACATAGTACTGTTCAAAATATTTGTCGTCATTGTCCATCACTTTTTACGACTTCAAATAATTGTCTGATTTCATATCTGTTGATCTTTTGAGACGAAATCACCAACGATTTGATGAACTTTTGTAAATCATAATATATGCAGTAAGTTTAATCTTTTTTATTTATTTTAAGTTCTGCTGAAGCTTTTTATAAACCCAGTGCTAAAAGAAAATTATACTTTTAAAGTCATACATAAAGATTTATATCTTTTTTTATCCACATGAAATAAGATTAATAATCAATCAATGTCAATATAAGATTAGTAAGAAAATCGTTAATCTCGATGAATATCAAAATGAATCTAAAGATAATTGGTATACTTCAGTAAAGAAGAAACAGCAGGTGATAGACAGTAATGATAATCGCATTTTTTATTTGAATTAGTCAGCAATCAGTTATCAATATCTTACGTCCATTTTTAATTGATATATGATAAATATACATGTGTAATGCTTATATATCATATTTTAGAACAACTTCGGTCACTGGTAAAATCATGGTGAATGGACAGGAAAGGAATATGTCTGAATTTCGAAAATTGTCAGCTTATATAATGCAAGATGACTATTTGCAACCACTTTTAACGGTGCAAGAAGCAATGCTTGTTGCCGCGGATCTCAAACTAACATTAAAACATCATCAGAAATTAGAAAGGGTAGGTTTTATTGTTACTGTATATTAGGAATGTTTCGATAATGTTGAGTTGTGTGAATATATTATCTAATATAAGATGCATATACATACATGTCTCAACAATCATTTTACTCTTATAGAAATATCATACTAAGAATCATTGATAATTACTTATTATCCAGTATTTTTAATACTGAAAATAAGTAATTATCAATGATTCTTAGTATGATATTTCTATAAGGGTATGAGGACAATAACTTGTAATGTTACTAACAATATAATCAACTAATAATAAAATTAGGAAAATAATTAAATTTAATATTTATTAATATAATTCGTGTTATATATATAAGAAGAATACAGTGATATTTCCATGATTTGATATTTTAAAAATTATAAAAATTAAATTCTTTTTCATTTTACAGATCGATGAAATATTAACAGCAATGAGCCTCGATGAGTCTCGTTATACACGTACCGGCGAGCTTAGCGGAGGTCAAAAGAAAAGACTTGCTATTGCTCTTGAACTAATCAATAACCCGCCCATCATGTTCTTCGATGAACCAACAAGGTAAATCTCAACTGTTTATATTTCGACGGATGCCTATTATATTGTAATTTCACACAGCTCTTGATGTGATTCTTTTGATGTCTTTTTTCAGTGGTTTAGACAGTGTTACCTCAAAACAATGCATATCACTTTTGAAGCAGTTAGCAAAAGAAGGACGAACTATAATCTGCACGATTCATCAACCAAGCGCGACACTCTTAAATATGATAGACCACCTCTATGTAGTTGCTAATGGAAACTGTGTTTACACGGGCAGCACTCAAAATTTGGTAGCATATTTATGTAGCGTAGGCTTATACTGTCCGGAATATTACAATCCAGCTGATTATTGTAAGTTTTGTTTTTAGTTAATTTAAGTTCTTCTGTTTATCTTTTCTATTTTTTACTTGACAAATTATACGTGATAGACCCACTTAAAGAAATGGCAGTACAAAATCCAATAATTTATTAATGCAAGTAAATTTTGTTGCGAAAATTTGTATATTTTATAAAAATATTCGTATATTTTTCGAGCTTTATTTTAACTTTTCAAGTTTTTTTTCGTAGTGATGGAGATATGTAATGGAGATTACGGTACCCATGTACCGTCTAAACTGGTAGAATCAATCCAGAATGGTAAAAGTAATATGTGGAGATCGGATAAAACTTTCTACTTGAATAAAAAGATTATTACCTCGCAACAGCTTATTCCTATGAGATTATATTCTTTCGAAACGGAATTTAAACACACTCCACATTACTCTGCTAGTTCTTGGAAACAACTTCGCGTTCTTGTTAGAAGAAATGCAATTAGGCTGTTTCGCGATAAGGTAATATTCTTGTTCATTATTAGTTCTGTTTATTATGTTTGTTCATATATTTAACGATGTTTGATAATCTTGATTCTTCTTGTTAGATGTTACAATACCTAATCCATTAAACTATAAATATAATATTTATTCTGTGATAGTAGTAAAATAATAAGAATATAAAAAACAATATCTTCTTTCTATAGATCTTGACAATTTCAAGGATCTCAATGCATTTGACTATTGCTCTACTTGCTGGTACAATATATTTCAAAATTGGTCAAGACGCCGCTTATGCTTTAGACAATTTTAATTTATTATTCTTCAGCCTGATGTTTCTCATGTATAGCGCATTTAGCGCTACAATGGTCACGTGTAAGTTTATTATACTTTTAGTACAATTTAATCTTATGTACAAATATTTGAAAATATCTTTTACAATTTCTTATTATTAAATAACAAAATAAATCCATTATAAATTTATTATTGCAAACGTAATTAATCAATTTGTTCACTCTTAAAAACAAAAAGTAAAATATTTTATAATTGCAAACCCAATGATATTTTTCACATTCTGGTTATGACATGTAGTCTCATGTAAACATGTAGAGTTAATTTTGGTGAATTTATGAATGGAACATATCGATACATGTGCAAAACTTAAATAAATTAATATGTTTTATGATAAATTAATATAACGTGTTTTATGATGTATTTAATATTACAATTGATTTAACAGTTACATAACATGTTTAACTATAACATAACGTTAACTATTTTTATCGGTTTCATAGTTCCTTCAGAGTTGCCGATACTTATGCGTGAGCACTTTAACCGTTGGTACAAACTACGATGGTATTATCTAGCGAACAAGTTGACCGATTTTCCGGTCCAACTTACTGCCACGTTTCTTTATGCTCTTGTAGTGTATTATATGAGCGATCAGCTTCCTGAAGGCAGAAGATTCGGGCTGTTCGTGCTTATGTGTTTTGCTACTAGTTTGGTTGCTCAAGCGGCTGGACTTATTTTAGGATCTGGACTAAAAGTTCAAGTATGTATTTATTTATTTAAAGCTGTGTATATCGTTCCACATTCAGATTAAAAAGAGAGAGAGAGAAAGAGAGAGAGTCTTTTATTCTCAATACATAGAAATAATAAATCATATATTATCTTTCGACTTTCCTTTTGAGAGATTCAAATAAATCAAAGATTGAAAAATTAATTTTTGTAAAAACTATCTACTTTTAATATATATAAACTTACAAATATTATAGAATAGCGTGATTTTTGGACCATTTGCGATTTTGCCATTTGTGATATTTAGTGGATTCTTTGTGCATTTAAAAGATGCACATCCTTACTTACAATGGTTATTTCACACATCGTTTCTCAAATACGGATTTGAAGGAGTTATGATTGCAATTTATGGGTAAGGGTTTATTTTTAATTAGTAGTAGTATAAATATTAATTAAAAATCGATTTTGACATTCTTTATTGCGTTTTTTACGTACATCACGCACTCACGCGCGCACGTATTTGTGTTTTTTTTACATGTCCTAAAATTTCCAAACATTTTGCAATTTCTAAGACTAAGTTTTTAAATTACTATCACAATAAATGCTTGTATAAACTATAGATATTTATGATTACAGCTACAACAGGACAAAATTGAAGTGCTCTGCAGATTATTGTCATTTTGCTATTCCCGAAAAGCTTCTTACGGAAGTAGATATGAAGCATGTAGACTATTGGTTCAATATGACTGTGTTGATAGTGCTCTATATTGTCTTGGATATTGTTGCCTATATTATATTAAAAATAAGAGTTAAGAAACGCTTAACATAATGACACATAATATTTCATGATAAAATTGTACATCAATTTTACAATTTTGTACAAAAAAATGTCTCATAAGATCTCAAGGGGTCCATTTTCTAAGACTGATTTATTTTTGATAACATACGTAGTAAAATGTAGTAAAAAGAAGAATTTGCACACTTTATTCTTTTTATAATAAGTTTTAAAAGATAGAAATATTTAGAAAAAATATTTTAAATCGTATGTTTTTCTTTATATGAAAACAAAATAAGAATGTTATATATATATATATATATATATATATATATATATATGTTATATATATTTGTATATTATATATAAATACTTACATATTATCAGGGTTGGGAAGTAACTCGTTACTTGTAACAAAGTTACAGTTACATTTTTCAGTAACTGTAACTTAACTTCATTACTTTTTCCCACCTGTAACTATAACTTAACTTAGTTACTTATTTTTAGTAACTTGGAACTTTTTAAACAGTTACTTTAATAGTTACTTGGGGAACGTAAAATAAAATTAAAATTATATAGTAATCGTATATTAATTTAATAACCCAAATAGCACAGAGAATTAAAAAAGAATTAAAAAATACTTCAGTCGTATGTCACCAATTCTGAGTTCATTTTCAGATGCAAAAAGAATTCTTCAGAGTTTAGTGCAATGAAAAGAATTCTTTTTGCATCTAAGGGGGCATTACCGTTTCTCGGCCGAAAAAGGAGGCTATTTTTGCAAAATTTTTTTTCTCAGAAACTACGCAGCCGATTATTTTGAAACTTAGTACGCTAAATACTACATATTTTATTTGTATGTCAGAATTTTTATAAGTATGTACGCTGCAAAATATAAAAGTTATTGAAAAACACGTAAAACTGAAATGAGCGATTTTTGCTCCATGGCGCGCATATCTCATGACTCGTTAATCTGAAACAAGAAAGCCAAAAAGATTATTAAACTAGAGACATTCAGTTATCGCTGGAATTAGGGATTGTTGATCAAAACGGATTGTTTTTCAGCAAGTTGTAGGTATTTGAAAAAAAACATCCGAAAAATCGCCTTAAAAATCGCCTTAAAAATAGTTTTTCATTGAAAATAAATAGGAAAAGTTAATATATTTTAATTTCGCTAGTTCGGATGAAAATAGCACATGTTTTGAATATGTAGCTATAGGCAGAAGTCGATCGATTCAGCAGTTCGTCTCAAATCGTGCGCGCCAATTAGAGAAAAACGCGTTTAAAGTTTCGGATACTATTTAAATTTATATTTCTAGTACTTACGTAAGTTTTAACCTAATCAACGATTCCAGGCCCATAGAGCAAACACACCGAAGTCGTTCTTTTGTTACCTAGGGTTCATAGGACCTTCGTGTATGACCGAATATCTCATGAAATTTTAAACGGCTCGGAGAACCGGATTTGACCTGCGCGTCGCTTCGAATAATAGGCTGTAACTTACGCAATTTTTCAAATTTTTCGATGCGATAAGTAGGAATAGATTCTTAAAAATACATAGATTGCAGTTTAATAAAATGTAAAGAAAGAAAAATCGATTTTTTTGACCAGAGAAACAGTATTATTCCCTTAAAAATAAACTCAATATTGGTAATAACTTTCTTTTTAAATTCTCTATGCTATCTGGGAAATTTATCAATATATTTATGGAGCATGTGATTAAATTCTTTTAACTCTATAAGGTTATCATTACATTTTTATTATATTAAGTACAGATATGAAATTTGTTAAGTGGATTGACTAATTAATGTAATAGATATTAATTATAAAATTCAATTCTTAGATTTTAGTAAAGCTTAAAATGTAAGATTTTTGTATTTACAATAATAATTTACAATAATTTCAAGAAAGTAACTTAAAAGTAACGACTCGTTACTTTTAGAGTAACTATAACTGTAACGAGTTACTTTTCATAGCCAGTAACTTGTAACTGTAACTAGTTATATTTACAGCAAAGGGAACTGTAACTGTAATTAGTTACTTTTAAAAAGTAACTTTCCTCACTCTGCATATTATATATATACAGGGTGCTTATTCGCTGCATACATCTCGTCTCGGCGCGATGTGACAGTAGGCGCGGCAAGACGTAGAAGCGTAACGATATAAGCATAGACAGTGATGTATTGTTTTTCCAATCGCCACGCGCCGATATCCGCGCGTTATATTACTGAGCCGCGCTGACTCGAGCGCTCCGTTTTCTACCAATCAGTACACACGCTTCTCTTTAATCTTTTGCAATTAATTATAAATATATATATATAAAACATTTTTTCTTTTTGTATGAGAACGTCCTAGAAAGGATAATGTGTGTTAGTACTTTCTTTATTTAAATATATTTGTTATGTATTGAATTCATGTGATTATTGTAATAGCATAAAATTATGATGTCGTTGCATAATTACAAATGACAAACAAATAAAATACATGCACTTTTCGTTTGATAAATCTAATCGTAATATATCGTCTCTTATGATTTAATTCAGTGTTCAGAATTGTATAAACGAGGCGATTTTTTTCAAAGACTATGTTTCCTTATTTCCCAGAACCGCTCCAGCTCGCGGGTTCTGGAGGGCAACTGACAATCGTGATGCTCGGTTTCAAAATCGTAATTAACATTACGGAATCTGTGCTGTAGATATGAGCAGTTATGTATACTGCAGTGACGTATAATATAAGTCAAAATTGTTTCGAAATTCTTTTGAAATATTAACAAAGGTGTCGCAGTTTGAAATATCAACAAAACCGAGCGCTGCGACTGTCAGTTACGCGGCCTGTCGTTTATGTAGATAATTCCGAACACTGATCTAGTTTTTTCATGGACATGAATTTAACATCTCCTATCTCACAACTGCTTATACTGCAAAACGTAGACTTTAAATATAAAGATTCCATTATTCAAATATTGAATTCTCATCATCATGTAATAGTACCACGATAATATGAATGTGACTAGAAAAAAATAAACTTGTATAAATGCTTGTAAAAATAAGCTAAAATAAATGTCCCGATAACTGAATTAATAAACATGATTAGTTTTACATTTTTATTAATAAATAATGAATGGAATTATTATAAAACTAACGTATATATAAATTTTGGTTTGTCATAAAAAAATAATAAAATGTAAAATAAATATTATTTATAAATTTTATTAAGATATATTAAATAATGCCGATTGTACCAATAACTGGACTGAAAAATGAACTATATCTTAATTATCGAATAATACAGACTCAACGATTAAATGCTCATTAAATAATATTACAAATTGGCATAAAGAAATATTTTAACAAAATTGCAAAGGCTCTTTTTTAGAAATATTAAATATAGATATATTATTAATGTCTCAATCTCTCGTTAGAAGATTGTTCATTTACTGAGACATTTATTTTAAACTTGATCAAACGGAGTTAAGTAAACAGGATTCGATGAAAGACAAAAAATTTTGTTTATGTTCAATGTTTAACTAACAAACTACTACTCAGCGTTATCTAGGTTATCATAAAATGGTAAGGAGATCAAATCAGTGGAAGAAGTGGGATGTTCAGGTTTCATGATAATCTATATTTTCCAGAAAGTCGTAAAACTTATGTAAAATTACGTAAAATTTGATCCAGATTGTTCAAAGAGTTTAGAAGTTAATAATATAGGGAAACATATAGATATTCTGTTAAAGATAAAAATATTTAGCAAAAATAAAAGGTATCGTGTGTGTTCTTATTTATATGAAAACATTAAATAAGAATATATATTACATACATATATTACATACATATACATATATGTAATTTATTTACTTTATTATATAAATATTAATTAAATAAAATTAATTAAATATTAATTAAATATTAATTAATTAATTAAATATTTTTGTTCAGATATCTGTAAGAAGTAAAAAGTTTCTAAAGTATGAACTGGAAATTTACAAAGAGATTAGCATAAGATACAGCAATGAATATAATGAGATAACATTCGCATTCATGATGCTTATATCATATGTGAGTCGGTGTCTGTGATGTGGAAGCAATTGGCTGCCTACACACCCGACAGTCGTAGTCGAGAACTCGAATGTGGAACGCAGCGAGCGCAATGCCTCTCACTTTGCGCAAAGTAAACGGTGTCTGATAAAACGTACGATCAAACGAGAAGTTAGCTAACGCATGAAAATAAACGTGTAACGTGATTCGGTGAGAAAGATTGAGTGCTTTACAATTAGTAGAATTCTGCTGATAAATTTTAGTTAAGTCTCCGTGTCTCTAATTCGTGTCTCCGAGTTTACTTATATAGCTTTTATAGTGTTTAATTATTTCTAGGATGATCTCATCAAGTGTTAGCGACATGGATAGTGATAATAAGAATGCTGTGACGACTGAAGCACTCGACGATGTTTGTTCAATACATTTGGGAGATACTGAGAGATTGATGGAATTAAAAGGAACGCGAACTCAACAGTTATACATCGAATTTAAAGATCTCTGTTATTCGGTTCGTTACCATAACAAAGGCAAGTTTATCCTACATTTTCGTGAAAGTATAAGACGCAGTTCTTCTTCGTTCATTGTCCATGCTACTCTTCATTTGTGAACTTTGCGATATTTCTCTTTGAAATTACTACCAGCATTATCATTTAATTAAATCCGTTATAAGCCAATGATAGCGGATTCAACGCATCTTACTACGTTGTGATTATACCGCGAAGAAATTTATTAAATTGACTTCAGACGCATCTAACGATTTGATATGGTTATCTGTGATAGACGGGATCAGTGGGTTCTCAATCATTATTTCGCAAAACAACATACACTTGCAAATTTATAAGTTCCTTCTCTATATATCATATATTATATAATATATATAATTGGATACATCCGATTTTTAATTTGGTACATACATTATTATTTATATACAATATTATACCCAGTTATGTTTCGAACTTATATTTTTCTTATAATTTTTTATAACAATTTGTCATATAACAATGATAAATCTGAACATTTAGGAATAATCAATAAAAACAATAATAAATATTAAAATTTGTGAATGTTGCGCACAAGAAGTTTTATCTTAATTATATTTTAAAATTCAATTGGGAATTTGGGTACTTACGATATGTAAAATTTGTACTCACTATAAAATTATTTATCATGTGTTTAACTATTTCCTGGCACAAGCCAAAAACGGATGAATAATGAATCTGGGCGACTATTCTATACACATGCCGACAATTGTCGATTCGGTATGTGTTGTTGCGTAGCTATTTTATGGTATGATTGTATCTGCGCAACCGACAATTGTCGATAAACGTGTGTAGAATACGTGTGTAATAAATATATATATATATATATATATATATATATATATATATATATATATCTAATATGTTGATAAAAATATTGTAAAAAGCAAAATTCAACATAATGATTTACGTGTTTATAGATATTTTAAACGAGCTAGAATGTTTTTTTATTAAGTTATGTATATATTATAGTATACATATATAATTGTAATAATTTGAAATTGCAGAAAAATGATATCCATAATTTTACAGACTGCCTGTTTTAAAATAAATATGAGATTACGAAATTCTGCCACGGCACAGTTTAAATCGAATTCGTTAAACCTGTTTTCTTGGGTGAACCAAGGCAACATAAGACCTAGGACATAAGACTTAAAGATCTTAAAGATATCTTTCAGACGATTTACGTATAAATGTCTTTAAGGCGTCTTAAAAATTATCTTTAAGATATCTTATGTCCCGATTTTAGACATTATGTTGTCTGGAAAGGAGGTGGATATTTTTAAGGAGAAATTAACATATTGTTATTTAAAGTTATATTTCTCAATGGAAAAAAATAATTTTATCCGCGTGCGTTTAAGATTTGCATTATATACAACGATTACATAATGAAACATGTTAATTGCTAAGCAAAATAATGTAACTCAATATTAAAGATCTAAGTTTGTTGTACGGTTTGATGTACAGTTTTATTACTTTATTATTTTATTATTTTATTTACTTTAGACGCTTCCGCGCTAATAGAGTCATTCTGTCTTTATTGCTTACATGCCAAAGGAAGATAGAACAATATTATTAGCATGAAAGCGTCCAAAACGAACGTAGCTTTTGAAGGCATTGGCCCATATTCTGAATTCTCTTTTATCGATAAAAGTGCCTTAAATATAGCTTCTCAGCCAATCAGGTGGCTCTTAAGCCTCTTTTAAAGGCACTTTTATAGATAAAAGAAGATTCAGAATATGGGCCTTTATCTAGGTATAGCTTCCGGAATGGAGCCGTGTCTTGAATCAGCGATGTGTCGACGTTTCGCAAACGTTGTAGTTTGCATCATCAGGGATGAGAACTCTGATACTCAGTATCAGAGTTCTCATCCCTGATGATGCAACGTTTGCGAAACGTCGGCACATCGCTGATTCAAGACACGGCTCCATTCCGGAAGCTATATCTAGACATTGTATCAATGGCCGTGAAAGCCTCAAATCTAGTATGGGTCTTTATGTTTATATCATACTTACAAACTCAGATAATAAGGGAGATAATTTTTACACTTAGATAGAAATATTTTACGTAGCCAGAATGTTCACTTTTGCTCTTTTTAAATATATCTTGCTGTTATAACAACTTAATAAGTAGAGAAAATAATAAAACGATTAATTTTGTTGTTTCTATACTAGAAATTTATTTACAGATTTAATTATATGAAATTTTCACACACTTTTAACACTGCGCTGTGTTTGTATATACCATGTAAATATTTAATGTAAAATGTATTCTGATAGAAAACAAGAAAAGGATCTTATGTAACGTGACGGGACACTTCGATCCGGGCAAAGTCACAGTGATAATCGGTCCATCTGGCGCGGGGAAAACGACGCTCTTGAAAATAATATCAGGCGAGAAATTTTCAAATGTCGAAGGTACTGTCACCGTAAATGGCATTGAGCAAAATAGAGGATCGTTCCGCAAACATGTATGTTACGTGCCGCAACAATTTGCTCTATTGCCGTTTCTTACAATAAAAGAGACTCTATATGTAGCTGCTCGTTTAAAACTTGGAACCAGTCAAAGTAACAAAACGATCCTTGCGATTGTAAGTACAAATATAGTACAGAAATATTCTATACATAATATTCTATAAATGTTTGGATGTTATAAATTTCACTATATTATAATTGTCCTTATTTCGATAATGTGTAAACGATAGTATATTAAATTGATGCAATACGTTTTTTTGATATGTATCGCACTAGCTTTTTTTGGTATGCTGTCCTTTACATATATTATCGAAATTAAAATAATTGAATAGAAAATTACTATTTGAAGTATATCACATAATTGCTGTAAACAAGCATAATAAACAAAGTAATAATGAAATTTCGTATCATTATATGTGTTAGGTAAATATGATTGCAAGGAATCTCGGCTTGTTGAATTGTGTAGATGTAATGGCCAACAAATTAAGTGGCGGAGAACGGAAAAGACTTTCCATCGGCTTAGAGATGATTACCAAGCCAGCCGTTTTGCTACTAGATGAGCCAACAAGTGGTCTCGATAGCGTGGCATCTAACCAAGTATAATATAAATCGACACTCGAAATATACGACTACGCTATTTAATTGCTTTATTAAATCTATTTCTGCTTATAACTCAGTGAGAAATGACTCGTCGATCGACGTCGATTTGACGATTTCGACGTCGATCGACGAGTCATTTCTCACTGGGAAGACTTCTAGTTCTTTGCTACGAAACTCAGAGATTATTAACGCCAGAAGCGAGACAATAAAAAAAAGATATCTATAAAATCTATAAAATATCTATATCTATAAAATGACACAATCGATCGGGCACATTTGTTACACGCAAAAAAAATTTCAGTTGGTGCAAATAAGAAAATTTTTACAAATTTTCGGACTATTTTATAAATCTGTTTAATTAAATGCACGTGTCATTTTTCTTCAATGTATTATATAAGTTTTTTTTTATCGTATTTTTCCTCGCTTCTGACGTAAACAAAAGGTGATCTTGGCATAAAAATAAATATTTAATGAACTTCTATGCTCAATATTTGCAAATCGGTGCTATAATTTTTTCTTCATAATAACTATGTAATTTACATTAAATAGATCATTAATATAAATTTCAGTTGGTGCAACTAAAAATTAGGTGGTCAGAAGCGATATTTCTGAAAACTAATATTTCTGTTGTTGCAACCGAAAATATCCGTCTGAACATTCAACGATATTAGAATTCGGTTGAGGTAGCTAAGAACAATTAACTGTACAGAAGCCTCATAAATGAATTTTTCTGTTCCTACAGCCGAGTTTTCGTCTAATCCCTGAGCAATCGAAAATTCGATTGCACCAACAGAATTATTTTTTCCGTGTAGATAGTCTTTTTCTTCTAACAGTCAATTACCATAAAATTAACATGACATGCAACCTACTTTTTAACTATATTTTCTTATGATTTCATCACATCAATTTTATGGTTATTTACTAATTGTCAGATCAAAAGAATATTTTACAAATTTTTACAAATTTTCGGACTATTTTATAAATCTGCTTAATTAAATGCACGTGTCATTTTTTTTCAATATATTATGTAAGATTTTTTTTATCGTATTTTTCCTCGCTTCTGACGTAAACAAAAGGTGATCTTGGCATAAAAATAAATATTTAATGAACTTCTATGCTCAATATTTGCAAATCGGTGCTATAATTTTTTCTTCATAATAACTATGTAATTTACACATTAAATAGATCATTAATATACTGCATGATATGGCAAAAGCAAACTGTACAGTAGTTTGCGCGATACATCAACCTAGCAGTCAGATGATCTCGCAGTTCGATGATATTCTTGTACTTAATCATGGTAAATGTATGTATTGCGGCTCAAAGGACGAAATTTTAAATACGTTCGACAATGCCGGTTTCGCCTGTCCCCGCTTCTACAACATAGCTGAATTTGGTAATGCTAATTTAATTAAAACTCCTTGGTCATATCTCCGGACAGTTAGAGCCGTGATACACAGCAAAACTTATACTGCAATTCCAAGCAAATATACGAGTAAATCGCAAAAATCATAAAGTTATAGCTTACAAAAAAAACAAAACAAAAATCATAGATATTTATGAGTTATCATATGACATACTGTCCACTTAGAATTGCAGATCTATTCATAAGTTCTTATAAGTCTTATGAAAACAAGTTACGAGTTTTACGATTTTGTCTAGAACTAAGCAGTAAGACAGTAAGCAAATTGACCCATCACAGTCGATGATTCTTCTTACGTCTTACTGTTTAAGTTTTTTTATGTGTCACGGCCCTTACGTGAAAGTTACATTGGCTCAAATTGATCCAATCAGTTTTCAAATGATTGCCGTTCGAACAATATCGGTCCAATATCGGATTCCAAAAATTTTAGGACATATTTTGAACACTATGGAACAACCACGTTTATGTAAAAGACCAAATAATAACATATTTAAAAACAAATCGTGAACATGTAAGCGTATAAAAATGAGCTTTTTCACTAAAAAAAATCATAATTTTTTTATGTTTTAAGATTTTTTGTGTTTATATACCATATTTATGAGATGTGGTAGTTTGAAGAGAAAATTAGTTCTGTAGTGCGCGCGTCTCAAAAAAGACATTTATTCTGTAATCTGAAAAGGATCAATTTTTTTAAATCGACTGCTACACGATGAATGACGCTTTTATTTCGAATAATAATAATCTTTATCAAAAAAGGGAATTTCAAATTGCGAATAACAGTTGGGGAAAATCTTTCCCATACAGCACAAATGTCCGAAATACATCCCAGAGACATTTATTCTTTTAAATAATATATCTAATATATATAATACATTCCTCGGTTTTTGTGTAATTGCAGTACTTGAGGTGATAACCGAACAGAGAGATGGAAATTTACACAATTTGTATGAGACTTATCGTAATGAATGTGAAAAGACGAGATTGGACAACAATTGCTCTAATTACGGTAACTGCGTTATACAATATCTTTAATATTTAAACAGCAATTATATAATTGAATAATATGTTTGTATTATATTGCTTTGATAATATATTTATATTTATAATCGACTTAATTATATTTCATAATAATCACATGATCTAATTTTGCCTTGTGAAGAATCGTACAATGAAGATGTAAGTATTTTAAGTACACACACAGGCGCGCGTTTATACACACACACACGCACGCGCGCGCGCATACACACACACACCTACTTATACACAAAATAAATATAAAAAAGCATTAAAGAATCAAATTATAATTTAAAAATTACCTACATAGCGCATCAAAGTCACACTTGTTGCAATAAAGTCACAGCAATGCATAGTGATATGCGAATGTCCTCTTTATCACAGATATAATATCATTATAACAACATTATAAGATAAAATTGTTCGACTGGAAATTTCATCTTAAATGATGTTATAATAACCTATGATGAAACAGTTATAACCATGACCATATATTAGTGTGACTTTATTGTGACAAGTGTGATCTTAATGCTATGTAAGTACAAATATTTCAAGTTATATTCATATATATTTATTGTATTAAAAATATTGTTTATATAGCTTTTGGCACGAAATTACAATATTGTTAACAAATTTTACAGACACAAATTTGTTGACTGCTTCTGAATATAATTTAAAAAAAGACGACTCACTTGTACTTACAAATAATATAAAACAAACATCAACATGGCAACAACAAAAAATACTATTTTTAAGAGGTTTAATCTGTATCAAACGAGACAGCGTGAGTGAAAATCTTCAAAAGACACATGTAAGATTATGCAAAATTAAATTGTTATTGTTCTTTATTTCTTTTTTAGTTTCTGACAAAACTAAGGTTTGCAGTTCATATTTTAGTGGGATTGTTATTGGGCGTAGTGTTTTATGATTTTGGACACGATGCAGAAAAAGTAAACAGCAACATAGCTTCTTTATTTTTTTTCTTGCTATTTTTATTTTTCTCAAGTACCATGCCTGCAGTACAGATGTGTAAGTAAAATATTTTATATTTTTAAATATAGTCCTTCATATATAAACATATATAAATATGTGATAATGTATACGTGATTCTATTTTGCTAATTATTAAAAAATATTACTGAAGCCTTTTTGATTAAAAAATACTACTAAATATACTTGTTTAGCAATATTCTTCACGATGCTTAAAACTTATATTTCGTAATGTATGAGTTTACTGAAAGTAATTATATCACGTTCAACATAATTATATTGCCTCGTTGTAGTTCCGACGGAAGCAGCAGTATTCCTACAAGAACATTTAAATAATTGGTACCACTTGAGGTCATATTACAGTGTAAAGATATTAACGGATCTCCCAATGCAAGTGCGTTCCATTATATTAACATAATTTTATTACTAATTATTCGCACAAAAATACAACTTTACGCCTAATCGAATATTTTGCGCGTCATGTTTTAAATTACTGTCTCAAGATCTTTTTAATAATTCTTAATAATTTCTAGATACTTTGCTCTTCATGTTTCACCATTATATCATATTACCTAACGGGACAACCAATGGAATTTCATAGAATCTTACAGGTGTGGAGTATTTGTGTGTTAATTACGATTATCGGACAAACATACGGCGTTCTTGCTGGCGCAGTTTTTAACACTGAGGTATTGCAACGATGATTCTCGCATTTTTTATTGCTATTAATTGCTATGAATATCATAAGTAACCAAGTAATGACTTTTAGTTGGGTATTTTCTTAATACCGGCATCAAATATTCCATTATTACTCTTCGCGGGATTTTTCTTGAAACTGGGAGAAATATCGAAATATTTGCAGCCTTTAGGATATATAAGCTTCTATAGGTATGGATTAGGAACATATCAACGATTAATTTAAATCTTCTAACAATTTAAAAAAACGCATTTTTTATATCAGATATGCGTTTGAGGGACTGATTCAAGCAGTTTACAGTGATCGAACAAATCTATCGTGCTCAACAATTTACTGTTATTTGCAATCCCCCAACACGATTATGGAAATGATGGACATGCCAACGATGTCGTTCTACTCAATTTTAATAATATTAGGTTTTTGGATATTCTGTTTACACGTATTGATTTATGTGACGCTTTATATAAAGATTTATTACGCGAGAAACTAATGTGTTAAATATAATTGCATGCAGCATATTTTCTGAAATAATGAACAAGACATTATATAAGAAAAAAATAGTAATTTTAATAACGTAAAAGGGTATAAATATATATAAATTTATTTTATTTAACATGATACGTTTTATGTAATAACGATATAATAAAGTTTTTATACACAGTTACGAATATAAGCTACTAATTTATTATTATTATATAGAATTATTTTTTATTAATATTTTTTATTAATATTAAATATATTACAGTAGAATAAATTAAACAGCATATTAGGTCATTATAAACACTGCTGTGAGAAAATTCGTATTATAATAATATATATTTGATATCATGTGATATCAAATATATAACATCTAATTGGACAGAGCAAAACTTCTTTTTGTTATAGAAATAATCAATATATAACTCATAATATAAGATAATAAATGATAATAATTATATAAAATCTAAAAATAAATATTAAATTTAGATATTTTTGGGTGCCTTGATTATGTTATTACATAATCAAATATTTAAACAATTGTTATTTTTGTCACCATTTTTAGATCAATATAATTTGTTAATATATTTTAACTGTAAAATAATTAACATATTAAAGCTGTGTCAAAACTTACTAAAAAGAAAATTGTGTTAAAATAATTATTTGTAGGCGAAGAGTTTTGTTATTTTGATTCCAAAAAACGTTTATATTCTTATAAAATATAGATTTCTATTCTTTTGTCAAACTTTATATCTTCTCCTAATGAATTCAATACATAACCTGAATTTTATACATCTCGAATGTATCATATCATATTTAAAAATACGAATTAATATCGTTAATGGGCAGCGCAATGAACTATATAATTGTGTAATTACAATATATTACACAATTATAATTACACAATTATAATATAGTAATCTATTTACAACGTTAATATCACGTATGTACTTATTGCTTAATATTCTCAGTATGAATTCTTCTATGAATTCAAGCACATTGTACATTTCTCACATCGACACACGTACATAATCTTATGTGCTCATTCACGCAGCTATCGTGACATCACAATCACAAGAGATTTCATTAATGATATATGTATGCAAAAAAATATATATCCGTTGAATGTTTTATAACATTCCATGATATAAATATATATGTTTGGATAAGTTAAAATAAAAGCAAGAATATACATACATTTATGTACGAATTAGTTGCTAAGAATAACAACATAGATATCCGTAGTTTGTAATATTTCGCTCATTTGAAAAAACTGAGCAATAGAAGATTGCAAATTTGGTTTTCATAAAGACAAATATATATGGCTCTGAGTTACTCAAGCATTAGAGATTATCAAACATGTGCAATACTATGTCACTTAGTCAATATACCACACACATATATGCACGCACATATATGTTCGTGGAATATAGTAACAATTTTATAAATATGAAATTCGATTTTTCCAAGCTTTGCTTGCATCGCCTTATCGCAATGACATGAGCTTCCATCGTAAAAGTAGATAAGCGCCACATCGAGTAATAATAAAAAACGCAGAAAGCGCAATAATATCATTCCAGAATTGATCGCCGTTCATTGCAATGTCTGACAAGAACTTTTTAGGGTATCTATAATGACAGTACAATTCACCCTTTTCTTTGCAATCCAAAATGGGCCTGTCCAGTCCATAGATTGCTCCAACGAATCTGGAAAAAATGCTTTTTTTGTTATGCTTATTATAATAAACATATTTTAATATTTCTATATAATCTTAATTCATGTGAACATTATATTATAGATGTATATTAAACGTTAAAAAGATCAAGAAGCAGAAAAGATAGATCCTCTCGATATGAAAATTTTATATATTTTTAACATTGCTTGTTGTAAGAAAGTAATAGATATAAAAATGGAGTACATGGCACGTGACTTACCCCTCTAGACCGTATCTTAAATAACTGATGTAAGCACCCCACTTGAGATATGATGGTAAATCACGTAAAGACACACCGAATCCAGCGAACATCATTAATGGTACCGATAATGTTGGTCCCACGAACGTACCATTCTGAAATTCAACGTTTTCATTAAATTTCAGGTGGATAATTAAACATGTCTGTGAAACTACGATCATGATGATTATGTAATCGCGATTAGAATTAATGATATTAATCACACTTACCACTACATTAAATACAGCGCCTATCATAAGACCAGTACCTTGGCCTATGAACATTATTAATAAACTAATGGTCAAAAACATGGAAAATCGTATGATTTCCAACGGTTGCGCTGATATGAAGTACACAATTACTGAGAAAAGTATACAGCACACTATCGAAATTGGCAGATCAATCAACGTTAACGCTGTATAAAATGCTTTCAAGCTGTACCATCGATTGAAATGTTCTTTAATGAGGATGGACATCTGCATTGGAACTGTGAATCAAAAATATAATTTTGCGTTACATAAGATTGCATTTATGAAAGTTTTTGTGCGCGCAAACAGTTACACGTACAGAATTATTCCTGTATAATACTACGTATAAGATTGAATGGAAACTTACAGGTCACTACGGTAAGCATCATCGTTGTCATCATGTGATGTATGAGAATAGAAAAAAGGAGATTGTAATTATCCAAGACGCGCGAGCCATCTGCGCCGGATCGCAAAAAAACTAATCCAAGCATAATGCCGACGATTATATTAACTCCAATGCGCAAGTGTGTCAGTGTCTACAATATAATAATATATTGGTATCACCAGTATTAATTATTAATGTATCATTATAATTATTAACTATCATTAGTTATTGTCGATAACTATTATTAATAATTTATTATTTATTATTAGAAATGTAGTTAATCCGCATCTTTTTCTCTCTCTCTTTCTAAAGAATGCATATATTATTAATATGTAAAAAATATTGTGTTTAATAAAAATATAACCATACCGTATCTCGTTTGCACATAATAAAACCTCTCCGCAACAAGATTTTCAATTGGTGAGAAAAATTTGTTGCATGTAAGGCACTGTTCTTTTCCACTGTGTTTGAATTTCTTAAAGGATGTGCCGCTGGAAGATACAAGCAAATGTTAAACTGAAATATGGTGTTACGTAAATATTGTAAATAAGCGACGCGCAATTATCATAACATCCGTAATGAGTAATTAATTTATGTCCATCATTAATTGTTTTAATACGGTTAATTTGACTTGTTAAATGTATCTGGACTATTTCAATGCTACTTAATATAAACTAAAGAAGTGAGACTAAATATTTCCGCAAATTTATCAATATTTTCACAACGTTTAAACATAAAAGTAATCTTATAAAGAAAATTTTAATAAAAATGTCAGTTTAAAAATGGTTACAAAAATTTAATATCTGTTAACGATTAATATAACTTTATATAAAAAATCACGGATATATTGAATACTGCGTAATTCACACGTTGAGCATTGAAACAGTTAATTTATTTTTCGATGAAATAGTTGATTCATCTATTTTTTTATGTACATACCTCTTAAACTTTTTGCATCTTTCAGAGCTTTCGGATTGTCGAACCATTGCAAGTTTCTTCCATTTTGCGACGCCGTTATTAAAGTCTCGATTTTATCTTCACCATATTCTCCGCAGGCAAGTTCGATTACTAAAATTTTATACATTACAATATAATTTTAAATATAGAGATCCATTTTTTACAAACAAACCCATTATAGTATCCTCTTCCGATTTTAATATGCTTGTTGATAAAATGTTGTAGTTTAGATCAATATAAGAGACGCATATTTTTTTTATAAATACATTCGCTCAAAAGGATTTTTCATTTTCTACACTTGTGATTAAACACTTATATAAAAATACGTATATAAACATTTGAGATATATGAAAATAGAAAGAGGACGCCATTATGACGTGGTTTCCTTGTTTGTAATCTTTATAAATTATTTCCAATTATATTCAATGTATATACTACCGCATAGTAAGCTAAAACATTTTTCACAGAATTTAAAAAAGCGGATTTACAAATTTTTATAAATTTCATAAATTATTATTTAAATTGAAAATTTAATTCAAAATGTAAATTTTCTATCATTCTTTAATCAACAAAAAAATCGAAGGCTTATATTCTCAATATATTTAAAGATGTAGAATTTTCACGTAATTTTAAAATAATCTAATACCCCAGATAGCACACATGTCCAAAACTAGAATATAAGACTTTAGTCTTTATGAAGTCTTTGAGTCGTCTTTAAGACGTCGGGACATAAAACTTTCTTTAAATTGTCTTAAAGACGTTTTAAAGATATCTTATGTCCAGTTTTGAACATTATGCTGTTTGGGACAAAAGCTTCCGACAATAATAATTATCTCAAAATTATCGTACATACTATAATCTGCGGGATTATGATACATAGGACATGGCAGTTTTATGCTTTCTAAGTATGGCACTAATTTGTGTGTTGCTCCTTGGTAAAGACAATCTCCTTTTGATAATACATATACCTATAAAAAATTATAATTGACATTTAATGATTATCACACATATAAAATTTTTAGTAATACTTATAATTACAAATTCCATAAATTATACAGTAATTTTTCTGACACTTATATTTACCAGGTCGAATAGTTGAAAAAGAGACGCACTAGGCTGATGAATAGTACAAACTATTGTCCTTCCTTGTCGCGCAAGTATTTTTAGCAAATTTATAACTTGCATACATGACGAACTGTCCAAACCTCTGCAATAAATAGGAATAATGATGATGATATGAAAATAATAACTTATTAAATAATTCTACATTCTCATTTTTTACTAAATATGAAAAAATGCTTTAACGACATTTATTAATTCATTTACATATTTACATATTGTCTGTGTATAAAATTTTCGATATTTACGCATAATTAACAGTACAACATGAATAGCTAAATACACTGATACCAAATATGTAGAAAATGTGTATATTAATGAATATTTCAATACAATGTTCAAAATAATATTTACATTATATAATTCAAGAAGTTCAATACTGATCCTAAGAAAAACTAAATTATTACATTTATGTAAGTGTATCCGTATTAAAAATGAAACTTTCATGCTAACAATATGTCGCAAAGACAATTAGGTCATTGAAAAAATGGTCATTCAATTGTTCTGAAAATATATACAAAGCGTCTTATTTTAATTTCCTTTTTTTTTTAAATATGCATTTTTCAGAAAAATGTTTTATACAAAAAAGTTGTAGAATATCAAGGAAGATAGATGCTGACATATGTTTGATCTTGCGATGATTTTGACAAGCATTATCAAAGTTATAAAATTAATAAAATCCCCTTGTTTTCCATAGTATATTCTTATAGTTAACATTGAGACTTTGCCGAAACACTAGTTACAAATCTTTTTACCGTAAGAACTTTTCGAGTTGTGGGACTTAAAAGTTATATTGCTGCTAATATTAGCATTGGTGAGCCAAGGTGAGCCACATGGAGATTGCACAGTCGGATTTACACCTTTTTTGTGTATGCGTCAACAGAAATAAGAACCCCGTGAGAGTGAGGAACACACATACATACATACACGTACTCGCACACGTTCATACGCAGCAGAGAGGGTTTGGGAGTCATTAAATACCGCGGGAGTGACGAATCGTGAAGTCCTTATCTCTGCTGACACATATATACACATACATACATACATACATACATATAGACACACATACAAAGAAGTATAAATCTGACCGTGCAACTTCCACATGGTATACTTTGAGAAACTAATGTTTTGGAAACGTCTTAATGTTATCTATAAGGATATACTATGAAAAATAAAAAGTTCCATTTAAGAGTTTTATATTGATTTTGATAATGTTTGTTAAGGTCATCGCAAGGACATCATGTCAGCATCTGTCTCCCTTGATATCCTAAAACTTTTGTATGAAACATTTTTTTTTCAAAAATGCATTTATTTTTCGAAAAGAAAATCTGAGGAAATTAAAATAGGGCACTCTGTTTTATATATATATATATATATATATATATATATATATATATATATATATATATATATAAACTCTATTATTATCAATTAATCAATTAAAAGTTGATATAATACAATTGCAACTCTTACGTGGTAGGTTCATCAAGGAACATCACCGTGGGATTGTTGACCAACTCCAATGCAATGGACAGCCGCTTCTTTTGACCGCCACTCAAACTACTAGCTCTCGTATTCATGTGTTCGTACAAGCCAAGTGTCGTGAGAATCTCTTCGATCTGAAACATTACAGATAATATATCCTTATAAAATATTAATCTTCATAAGCATTGAATTGCTTTAATATAGCTTAATGATAAATCCATTTACTATTATACAAGCATAATACATAAGCAATATGTTTATTTTCTTTTTCTTAAAAAATGCGCTTTAATTAATCATTAAGCCTAAAGTTTTATTAAAAAAAAACGTGTTAATAATATATTTTTACGTACGATCATTTCTTTTTTATATCGCGGCGTATTTGTTGGCAGTTTTAAATCAGAAGCGACTCTCATGTTCTCGAGCACGGTAAGCAGAGGTTCTAGTCGATCGTCTTGTGTGATATACGCACTGCATCTAATGAGAATAAAAAATAAGGAGTTAAAAAATATAAGAATATGTATCGATAATCGATACCTAAAATGCAAAAAAAAATTAATGTTATTACCGATTTTACTCTTTCTAGTATCTTTTTAATAAAAAATATATTTGACAATTACTTCATAAAAAAGAAGAAATTAAGAATGATGCTTTTTACGTCTCGCAAAAATTTTTGTAAACCAGTCATATTAAAAAAAAAAGAATTATTTTTTACAAAAAATATACAAATATCATATATAATATTTCTCCAGTTATATTTAATATTTATAAGTATAAATAAAATAAAATTACAAGATAAATTTCCTTTTCTATCGAGGGAAAACAACATTAGTGATTGGAGGTGTAAAAAAATTGATCGTGTTAATCAAATAGCTAAAAGAATTTGAAAACTCGATAAAACGAAAAATACATATCGAAAATTTTACGTACTTGCGAAAAGTGTCAAGGTGCCGAACACGGCCATTAACAAATACTACGCCATCTACTCCGGTTATACGGAAACCAGAAAGGATATCAAGTAATGTGGATTTTCCCGCTCCAGACGGTCCCATCAAGGCAATCAACTGTTTGCTCGGAAGTCTTCCATTAATTTCATGCAATATTTCTTTATGTCCTAAAAAATATGTCATGTTTACACTACATGTCGTGTGTCTGTAACAACAATCCATAACGTTTGCTTGCACTAGATTGTGCTAATATATACTGCAATGTGCTTTGATTAAGAGTTAAAGCATCTGAAGAAATAAAATATTTGTTAGGACAGAAAATTCAAAGCGTATTGATTTAATTATCCAAAGCGAGCAGAAGTAGAATTTCATGTTGGTTACGCTAATAAGAAACTAGAAAACGCTAGTTTAATAACATATTAACAATCAACTTTTTTTTAAAGAAAACAAATTTTTATTGTCGAGAGAGCTCACCTTTTTTACAACCGAGTTTTACAGTATAAGTGATATCCTCAAAGATCATATCGATTGATTCCCTGCCATTATCGTGCGTCCCAATATGGGCCAACTCGCCGATATCCTCCTGTTTTTCTTTGGGTATGGATTTAGAATCGACTGTACAAATCGGCGTGTTTGTACTCGTTTCCTGTTGATTACTCGCTTCGTGCATCAATACCTCCATCGCTGCACACTGTATGAACTCAGTTCAGATGATAGAGAAAGAGCTGATTATGTTTGAACGCTCATTTGCCGCCCTAACGTCGAGCAGCCTGGAAAAAATATCACCGCGCATTAATAAATAAATAATTATATTAATATTATATTATATATATAAAATTTATATATAATATTAATATTATTATATTAATATTAATCAACTTATATATGAACGCATTATTTATCTTTTCTTTATTGTTGTTATATTATTGTTCTCTATTTTCATCGTTACCACGAGTTGAAATTAATTACAATTAACATGTTTTTACAATATTATACTAGCAAGGAATAAAATAACAATAAATAATAGAAACATGCACAAAAATAGATTATGCAAGTTTTTAGTAGGTTCTATTAATTATAATACAATTTAACTTCAAAACTATTTTCTTTTTATTAGCACGGTATATTAATTTATATCCTTTATTCGACTTATAATCTAATGTTGAAAATTTTGTAATGTTACGAAATGTAATTATAAATTTTTTATTTTCTGTTCTTTTCTGTTTTCAGTTGGAGCAAATTATACAAGACAGGTAAAAGAACCTTTAAATATTAATTTACAAAGTTACTAGTAGGATTTCTGACCGAGAAGCGATTATCATTTTATTATATATATATAATATATATAATATATAAGGAGCAAAGGTAGCTTTGCACACGAGATAATTTTTTGTTCGTTCCACGATGAATCACTAGCAGTAACGAACGATGCATATTCATACTGACGATACATAGATATACATATAACGACAAGCCACTGGTTGTCCGTGACATAGAATTTATAAAGAATTTACTATATTTTGAAATAGTGTGTAAAATGTAAATATCCGTTTTATGGTTTAACATTCAATTCACCTTGACTATTCACCATGGCCTATCAATCGCAATTTATTAAATTTTATTATTTCTTAAAGTGTTTTTTACGACATAAGATTTTGTAATCTTATTTGTAATTTGCAATCTATGCAATAGACGATAAAAATAAGATATTTTAATGATCATTTTAGAGAAGCTTTAATGATTCCAAGATAAATATACGATTAATGTATATTTTTTATATGTAATATAAATATTTTAATTCATCTCTCTATCTGAAGACATATTCAGAAAAATTAGTGAAGAAATAGCGAATGAATATTTATATATATATCTTTCCATGTTTTAGAAGATATGATATCCATCATAGGATCCTGTCCACAATTTCGTATATTGTATAATAATGTATATGAATATTTATAAATATTTACGCATCTATATGTAATATTTACATATAGACGTTATTCCAAACTTTGGAATCTTTTCTCAAAAGAATAGTCTCCTACCTCGAATCTCAATGCAAATTATTAATAAGATTCTGCTACATAAAACATCACTCCCGATATAACAGAGTAGTAAAGAAATAGCAAGTAAACATATATATTTATTATATATTAATCGCGAAACGAACGTAGTCACGCAGCGTTACACTGATTCATGTGAATCGTGTTGAACTTCTTAATCAATATTGAATCCATTGCTTCCATCGTTATCACATCAAAGTTACATTTTACAGTTATCAAAGTACAATCTAAGTCTATTGAACAAAGTACATTCTTTAGTAGTCTTTGCTGATTAAGTTCATTTAATAATTTTATTATCTTATCCAACCATATATCGATGCAGTATAGACATTTTGAGCAATTGTAGAATGTTTAAGAAAAGCGCTTGTCTTGCTAATAAAACTCGCTATGTTTGGCAAATAACGAAAACGACGGTAACAATTGCTAACTCGACGAAACCTTCACAATGAAAAAAAAGTACTAAGATAATCAGTAACAGAATGCGTCACAGAACTTAACAGGCAGTACGAGTCAAATTTGTCAACAAGATTTTATAGCGCGTATAAGCCGTGATAAGCTAAATATAAAGCAAAACATTTAATATTATACGTTAGCAGCTTTGACGTCATCATATAGTGAGGATAAAACATTCATTTCTTGAGAGTAATTCATTGCGCATGATATCGAATAAAACTAAAAAACTAAAACTAAAAAAACCTTATGTTCACATCATATGTGTGTCATCTAAATCAGAAAATACTCGAATATGTTTTAATTATTTACATTCCATAAATATTTTAATAATTATTATTATAAAATATAATAATTATTATTATATTTACATTCCATAAATATTTATATAAAATATTTTATATTATTATAATTTTATATATAAATATTTTATATATAAAATTAGATTTAATAAAATTATAATAATAAAAACATATAATAATAAAAATTATATAATAATAAATAGATAATAAAATTATATATAAAATTGATTTTCTGAAAATCTCGAATGCATTAAAAAAATAAAAAAGTATTTCTTATTTATTGTATGTACAGTAATTTATAATTTCTTGCTTTTCTCGAATGCTTACATTCGTAAAAATTGATGAATAATTTAAAATGAGAGAGAGAGTGAGAGTGAGAGAGAGAGAGAGAGAGAGAGAGAGAGAGGGAGAGAGAGCTGCCTTCACAAAATCACTGCCTTTATTATTCTATGCATTTTAATGTATTTTATGTAGTAAAAGACAACTGTGTGTATGAAAAATAAAAGATTTGCCAACGATAAATTGGAGATATTGGTCAGTAACTACTCCAGAACACATTTTCCGCAATAATGAGAACGTGCATGCGCACAGGATGTTGAAAGCGAGGTGAAAGTATGGGATATCTTTAAGGAAGAAATACTGCGACGTAGTGTTGTACGCGTATATCTTGAAATACACTTGTCCATCAACTTTTGTGATTGAGAGTGTTTGTGTATCTTATTGTCAAATGTTATCGCATCGTTTATCGAAGACAGATATAGCGACACAAACTCAAATAAAAATCTTGTGATATTAAGTCGTTTGAGATGTGTTTTTATTCAAATGTTAATAAAGATTTACATTTATTTAAAACACGTCTTAAATAAAACGTTTTATTTAAAACGCCTTTCTAACACGTGATAAAATATCTGAAAAATAATGAAAGAATCTTACTCGCAACGATGCCTCGCTAAATACGTTTTCTCGCAATTATAATATTAATGATAAATTATTTTACAGTCAGTTGTCACAAAATACAAACGGAACTGTAGATTTATATCTTGCATTCTTTTCCTTGCACTTATGAAGTCCAAAGTGTTAACATGCACTATTCGAAATAGAATTGCATGACATAAATTTTCAAGAATGTATTTAGCATGTCTCGAGTGTGTACGATAATACTGAGAACTATTCTAGACAGCATGTCTAACATATATCTTAGAGACATTTCAAAGAGACGTCTCTAAGCAATTAGAATATCTTTCAGACATTTACATTGCATGAGAATTATTATTCATTTATTTGCTCATTCGTGTTTTTTCACTAATACTTAATTAATTCGTTCATAAACGTGTTTATTAGAAATAAATGCGTAGTATTATGTTTGAATATACGATTTATAAGTATGCTTCTTATAAAAAACTATATATTAATTCTGTTATTATGTAAATATAATGGCATCACATTTGCAAAACACAACAATCAAAACTTTCGTTATACAATAAAAATATTGAGTTGTAATCGTAACAATGCGCTTTTGAAGATACTAATTTTTGGCACACTGTTGCCGCCTGAACATGAAATTGCAAAAAAAAGCACTGTATCATAATTTTTCGAACAATTGATGCAGTGCACTTTGTTTGCCAGCATACGCAAAACGAAGCAAAATATGATCGGTGTGTGCACATCAAATCGACCCACTAGATGATCGTAGAAAATATTGTTCATTATCGTTATGGGTCGCATAACTGATAAAAGTTTAAGACACTGGAAAGAGAATGCACCCATTGCTATTCGCTCATCGAAATTTTCTCATGTGGACTGTGTACAGAGCATTTAAACTGTGTCCCCCTTAAACGTTGTTTTGCTTGATAAGCGAATGATTAATAATAACGCACACACAGAGTGAGTAGTATGTACAAAGTTCAAGAGACCCGAGCGAATGACATTTTAGACGGACTTTTATACTAGGGAAGTGTCGATTGCATTATTATGACGTTTATCAGTCTTACTTCATCCTGTCCATTTGCCACGTGGTATTCTAACTTCTCGCATTATATTATAGATTGTTTTCTATATGAAAATACACAAGATCTCGCCATAACATCGATCTCACGCTACGTATTATCTTCTTCTTATTCATATTCTGTTAAAAGAGACGACTTTTTCACAACCAATATAATCGCACTGCATTGTAATTCAAATGTTATGATGGGAAGACAAAGAGACTTTATATTGAACGTTATACTGAACGTTATACTGAACGTTATACTTTATATTGAACGTTATACATGAATAAAAAAGCATGAGATAATCGATACCGATACAATGAAATCATGTCGGTATCAATGTATACTCTGAAATATCTCGATAGCTTGATTTCACGATAAGATGCTATTTCATTATTTTCCTCGAAGCTATAGGTGCATGTGTACACGTGTATGTATGTGAGAAACATTGAAACCTGCTTTACGTATGTACGTATATAATGCTAATCACATTCGCTATTTGTATCTTAAATTGATGCATGCAAAACAATTCGCGCTTTAGTAGAGAGAGCATTGATTAATTTTTAAATAAACTTTTTTTCGTTTGTTGAGCATATTTCGCTATATACCTCGTGACCTCAGAGGAACAACTTATCATTGTTCGCATTGTTATCCCAATATGAATAAGGGAAGTGTTGTTTCGTATAAAATCATGACAGCTTTTTGTTACTCCTTGAATTATATATAATAAAGCAATGTGTTTTTCTTAGTATAATGCGACATCATAAAAAAGTTTCATGGAATTCAAAGATATAATTGGATAGCGAGAATTGTAGGCCTTGATCGATGATCAAGTGCGTTGTTCTTCCTACAGACGCTCCTCTTACACATCTATCATCGAACGTCAATTGATAATACAGTCAAATAATTATATTGTGCAATTCAGCTATTACGTTCGCTCGTATAATCATGTCTTAATGCTTAATGTATTTCATATCAAACTTTTCTGCATAAAAACAAAACAAAGATGGGAAATTTTTCGATGTCATTATTTTAAACACACTAAGCCCGTCTTTGCTTTTCTATAATATATATTGCGTCATAAATCAGGTTATTTTTTTCTACAGTACGAAACGTTTTATTCGCAGCATCGCGAAACGAACACTAAGTTGATTTGTATCGACCGTCTAATTACTAACATACACATACCAAGCAAACAAAAAATATATTTTTGCATTTACACACTTTTCATACGACTGACGTAAAGATTATGATTATATCTTCATCAACGTTGCAAGAATATATACTTCAGTGCAAATGCACCCGACACATGGCTATTTTTATTAAATGTATTCTCAAAATTATTAAGCCGCAGAAAAAACCTTTGCATAAAAACCTTTGTATGTGTGACAATATGTAGAGCAAAATGATAAACAGGGTAATTTGTATGCAAAATATACATACATAAATTATGCAAATAATATATACAAAATACACATACATAATAAAATTCATTCCACAAACAATCTCAGATAACACAAAACGTTTTGAGATTATCCTAGATATCTTACGTGTTAAGCAAAAAAGTGGTTAACTATAATTGTGATTTAACCACTTTTTTCCTTGGCATAGCAGAGATATACTCTGGACGTCCCAAGATATTCCTCAGGATATTTTGGATATATCCAGGACGATTCTAAAACATTTTGTGCTTTCTGCGATAAGATTAATATTTCTAAGAAAATTGCTTAATTAACGACTGCATTGTTTCAGATTAACTGGGAGATATTTTTTATCAAAAAGATAAAATACCAGCACTAATAAAGTCCATATGTGGATCATTAATTGCATCAATAATATATCTAATCGTGAGTGTTGTTCTATAATTCTTGATTTAGATTAGAGACAACGAAGTTAAGCAAATTCGATGACGACTTTTGTGACTTATGTTCTACGATTTTATCGTAAATTAATTAATTAATTAATTACAAAATTAATAAATTAATGTCCTTAAGCATATTTTAAAAGACATTCCAAAGTAACTAAGCAAATATGAGAAATAAGATATTTAAATAAATAATATAAAAATTAAATGATTACGAAGGCATGACGCAAGACTTCAATACAGAGTAACAATGGAAAGATTTCAATATCTTGATATTTAATCTGAAGTATGTCGAAATCATTAAAATATTTGCAGATATGTATAACTATATATGTTCAAAATGCTCAGACCGTTTTGCATATTGATCGGATCGTCCGTTTAACTACTCATTTCGCTTGCTAAAACATTCCAAGATATATATTTGTATGCAACATAATTTATTTCTATAATTTTCACTTTTTTGTAAAACTTTTTATTACACAGTTTGTAATCACCGCTAAACTCCTTACTCGAAAACCAAATGGTACAATCACTACTTGTCAATTACAATTGAGGCAGACTTAAAGAATCCAGAAAAGTTCATTCATCACTCAGAGGCAGTTTTAATAAAATGATTAATAACAACGTCTGCCTTCACACCTGTGAAGTAAATCAGCAGCAAGTAAAAAACTGTACAATGTACCGAAATAAAAAAAGTTATGAAAATTTCTTTTTTTTCCTTCTTAAAAGATATTATTTTTCAGAGAACACAATTTTGATGATTTTAATCTTCAATGTATATTGTGTGAGAGTACTGATTCATCTCAATTTCACGATGTAAGAACTTTTATAATAATATAAAATATTGTTAATATATTGATTTTCAATTCACATTTCTCGTGATTTTAACAATTTTTTCAGAATCAATTTCACAAATCACATCACAAATCTACATCAAATAGAAAATGTTTCCTTAGCTTCCTCAAGGAGATAATCGAAAACGATTGACAGAAAAACTTTTATTGTTTTAGATAAATATAACTAATGTAATATCGTGTCACTCGCACAATATCACATACCAGTATTTTGTAATTTCCTGGAATCCAAGGCGAGTCTATTTTATATGTTCGGAAAGGTGATAAAGCAACTTGTTAGTTTGACCTCAGTTTCTGATATTCGTCTATGACATTCTTTTTTTTTTCTGCAGCTACATTTGAGAGATAATATAACGCTGAGGAAGCACAAGCGTGACGAATGTACGGAGTTAACGGTCATGCTAAATAAGCGAACGGATGTGAAAGCGAATTTTTATTTTAGCAGTAATATTTTGTACGGATGATTGCGCGATTGAGAATAATTGCAATATGCACGTTGTGCGTGATGTACTTACGTAGCACGCAGCTTAATACTTGAATGCCTAAAAGTGACGGGAAGGCAGAAGGCAGACTGTTCACGACTGAGGATAGAATACTGACTCCAAGACCCAGGTTCACGTTTTTCTTCCTTTCTCTATCTCGCTCGAATCCCCACTTTGACAGCACAAACTGGATCTCAACCCTTCTCCTTTCTCGGAGATCGCTAATAATCTAGAATAAAATATTGATTATGTTACAATATATACTCTTAGGATACATTATGTGGATAATTGTTACATTGTGGAATTTATGTAGAATATTTTTAGAAAACCTCTTTTTTGGAATAGTAAATTAATTAATAATTAATAAATACCCCAGACAGCACAAGATCTCTTGAGGACGTCCTAAAGACGAAAAAATGTCCTTAGGGCTTCCTCAGGATATACTCTGGATGTCCTCTGGACATCTGTGCTGTTAGAGATTGATATTTTTATCGATTCTAGGATCATACGTGTGACGTCATAAGACGTATTCTCGACCAGGTATAAAGTACAGTATAAAGTACAGTATAAAGTAAGTAATGAATAAAATGATTGACATATTGAGGAAATAATTAATTCTATTCACGTAAGCGTATTAGTAATAGTAACCAAGTAAAAAATATGTTACATTAATTATATAATTTTTTATATTCTTTCGCAATATCCATGAATATTAGATTTGATTTCCGGGTTTGAACCGCATTAATTCCATGGAATTAGACAAAAAAGAATTCACGTGGTTTAAACCCAGAAATCAAATCTGACATATAATTTTTGTTTCACCGATTCGATATTCATTTGAAGTGTTCTGCATACATTTCAATGACCAATTTATCTAATTTTACAAGTCCAATCAATCTAAAAAATCTCCTTAATCTTTATCTGCTCTTATAAACAATCGATTTTTAGATCACGCGCGCGCGCGTGTTTATAGTAGATAAAGAAATTATACCATTTTAAAACTGTTTAGAAATAAAACGATAAATATATAATAGTGATCTCTATACGAAAAGAATAATATGTGTAAATTAATGCAAAAATACAATATGAATAAAAACAACAAAAATAAATTCGTTTAAATTCTGACATCTTTTTTTAAAAGCGTAAGAAAAAGCATAATTATACGATAACTATAAGAGTTCATTACGCCTGCTGATACATTCTCTTGAACAAAAAGATAACGCATGTGCGCTATCTTTATACTCTGATACTCGCACATTGATTCCTTCCAAGTATTATAAATCACATACCAACATTATTGTGGAATAAAAATTACAAACAACGTGTAGATTGATACAATATCGTAGAACCAGTTGACAAGGACAAAATAATTTAGTAAAGAGTAGTTAAAAATTATTTACAAAATATCTCTTAAATTTTCTAATTTACCCGTTGGTATCATTTTAATTATTTATTTATTGCAAATATTATCAAAACTGAGAAATTGAAAAAATTGAATAAAAATGAATATAAATTAATATGCTCTAAGTTTTTTCTTCTATCGTCTAATTAAACCAGAACATTATACTTGTAGATATAGAATAATTATCATTTATGTATGTTGTACTGTTATTACTTAGGTGTTCTGATATTAACCGTCAACATTGAAAAACTATAATAGTATGTAATATAATCTATTTTTAGTACTGACAGTGAATATCGAAATACAATCTTAGTCAATGATTTCTTTGTACAGAAAATGTGAAGAGGAACGATGAAAGGTTGGAATCGATATCTCCAACAACTAGAGAAAAAAAAAAATCTATGCGACAGTTTAAAAAAAGTAATCTATGCGACAGAAAAAATTAACAATTAGCAGTAAAAATTATTATAACGTAATGTCTTGATATTTACCATATTTCATTTATCTATTTTGCGATAATTGAGTTGATCGATACTTCTTGTGTAATTATATCTCGCGCGACTTTTAACATATTGTATATATTCATTAAAGTAATGTGTACATATATATAAAAGAGTACCCAAACAGCATAGATCTCCACAGAACATCCTCTCTCTCTCTCTCTCTCTCTCTAAAGATATTCTAAGAACGTCATCCCTACATCCTAAGAACGTCCCCAGGATATCCTTTGGAGATCTTTGGGTAATGGTGTAATGATGTAATAATGAAAGTTTCGCATAATCCGAGATTTTAAGGACAAGACATATTTTACATTCTTCTCTTTCGTTCCCATAAAGCACAAATCTCTAAAATTTCTTAAAGAATTCTAAAAGTGTTCTGGAGGATTTGGGAACTCTTTTGGAACTCTTTAAGAAGTCTTTTAGAGATTTGTGCTATATGGGTTATTTATACAAATATATTTCTCAAGAGAAATATAATCAATATTAATTCCTTCTTAATGTAAAATCTGTTTGTAGCTTATTTCTATCTGATATACATGTATATGTGCATGTACATTAAAATGTGACAAGATTGCATATCATGCAATTTCCAATACATTGCATCATACTTTACTGTTTCGTTGTTCTAGCTGTAGTAAACTATTATATCTTATAATTAATGTGTCACGTTCTAGCTATTATATTATCTGAGTACACTTTGTTCTTTCCGGTCTCTTTAGTTCTTTAGTATACTTAGGTCTACACAAATTGCTACTCTGACATGTATCAGATATACCTTCATAATTGTCATAATCGTGTCATTATAGTGAAAATTGAACAATTTTTTTTAGTTTTATTTTATAAAAAGAGCGATTCTTGAAATTAGGTCCTCTTTTTTTAAACTGTTAAACAAATAGCATTTCTTAATTACAAGCTAACTTAACTTTTATATCGGTTACTTTACGTTGTCGCAAATATTTCCGCGTAGCAAGCAAAATAATACATTGATACATTAAAAACAAATATTTACTGCATATGATACTATTATCATGATGAAGTGCGCTTCACAAATGACCATTAACCCGACCTCGTGTCATTATCAATCGTGTCCACGTGCTCTTGAGATTGTTATAATGAAAAACAGTGTTCATTAAAATTGGATCAATAAAGGTGTCTTTTATATCCTCTGTTGCATCTAAAGTTAATCTAATGTAACGTAAAATTACGTCAGGTTTCTTGGAAACTACATTTAAAACACAAATACACAAATAATAAAATCCTCTCATGTAGATAAGGCAATTACCGTTTTTTGCAGGTTTCATTCGTCAAATGTTAATTATCTTGTATAAAAACCGGTTGACGTATATGCTATGTACTTGACCTATAATTCTTTTTTATAACTTGTATAACTTAGTATAGTAACTTAGTATATAACTTAGTATAACTTGTATAACTTAGATGTATTATTGTTGTTAAAAACAACTAAATTGCACATTCATTCTGGTATTGGATCGATAACACAATTCATTAATATAAAATTAATATTTGGGGAATTTATTCGTCATCTTGTACAACCGTTGTTTTCTCAGATACATAAAGCCCATCCAAGAACTTTCTAATATCCTTGTTTTTAACCGTTGTTGATTGTTGAATAAGAGCGGCTGAAATAAAACGGAAATAAGATTAATATAATTAATTTTCGAAAATTTCTAATTACAAAGCTTGTGATATGATCGCCAGTAAAATATTTACCTGAACGTGATACATCTTCTAAAGAATTTCCTTCAATAATCAGTTCATCCTTTTGTTTGCCGGAATTCACCACAGTTACTCCGGGTGCCATTTTAACACGTCTTATATACTTCTCGCCCAAGAAGTTGCGAATTTCTATAACTGTGTTATTCTCTGTAGTTACACAGTTAATAGGGAAATGGGCATAAACAGCTCGCATCTTATACTGATATCCTTTTGTGACACCTTTGAGCATGTTCTCAATGTGAGAGCACACGGTACGAACAGCAGCTAATTCCTTTTTAGTGCCAAACCATTTCTCTACCTTCAATAACCTTGGGCTGACCATCTAAAATATTGAACAAGTATATTTATAAAATATAAACAGTACATGATTAATTTATCTATATTATAATTTGATAATAAAAATTTCAGATATGGATTTATCATTTATAGGAAATGAAGGGGAATCCACATTATCATCATAACATATTTCTAATCATTATGTAATAATTATAGTTATTGGAAAGTTTGCAATATTAAATAATGATCTACTTACACGAATATCAAGTGCAAGATGTTTGAATGATCGTTTCAAAACACCTCTCGGTCCTTTAACAGTCACCAGACGTGATTTGACTGTAACAGTCAATCCCTCTGGGATTTTAACCGTTTGGTTTGTAACTATCTGCTTCATTCTGCAATATAAAGACATATTTTAGCGAATAAGTATAAATATTTCTTTTTAAGCACAATTAAAAAATTTAAAAGTGCTCATTGCATAGATATTTTATATTTTTCTTTCCCAACAGTATTTTAAATAATGTTCAAATAACGAATATATCATGACCTATAATTTCACTAATAGGAGAAAATTCTTTATAATTCATAGGTTATATTCACTCCAAATAATATGTTTACTTGGAATGTCAGAAGGGATCGCTGGTAATTACAAAATATTGCAAATTTTTTATTAATTTATATGTTAGTTTATCTTGCAGTTTGTGTGCCATTCTAATTGTATTTTAATTTTATATACAACTATAAAGATTAACCATATCAAAGCCATACCTTGCTGCTCTTAAACATTTTGCATTTCATAAAAATAATATTGTACAAAGCAAGCATGAAAAACGACAATGACAAATACATATAACAATAAATCATTGCGCTCGACATATTGGTAGATTGCTACGGATTTCATAAGATATATCTCTTAGCAAAAATACTCTTACCTTAAACACACCACACGACAACGAGGAAAGACCGATACGTAAAGAAACCATGTCCATTAATCGTTAAGGTAATACATAGAGTAGCAAATCTCTTCTGATTTTAGTTGTATTGGTTCCTGCTCCACACGCTAGATGACGCTGTGGATCTTCAGAAAAGCGCTTTAGTAAAATGTCACTAGCTAATAAGATCCTAAAGAAGCGCACTCTCCTATTGGATATCAGAATCTACGCGACCATCATAAAAAAAATCAACAACGCCATTGGCCCAACTTGTCAACCAACAGTGTGTTGATTCGATGTTTCGGTTTTGAGTCTACTTAGCATTATTTTTATTTCATGCTTATTTATTTTAAGACGAAAATCCGCGCGATGTAAGCACGTACTTGAATCGAGGGAGAGAATGGAGGAAAAAAGAAAAGATCACAACGGTGCCCTAATCCAGAACGAAAGGTATTCATAACAATAAAAAAGAATCTAATACAAATTATCTGATACGTTCTGTATTCGAACTTTTCGACGACTTTTGTGTTGATCTAAAGACAATGCATGTCTCATAATGGCGTCCTTTCGACCCTTTCGACAAAACCAAATTCATGATAAGTATTTTGTCCTCGTCTTTATTGTATTGTGAGGAACAGAGCATGCTTAAGTTAGTAATTTTAAATTACAATAACATGTAATGATCGTTTCTATAATACACAGATGAAACATCATTGAATATTATATACATGTACATGCGGTGTTAATCGCGCAATTGCTCAGAACTTGATTTGATTTAGAGGTTAAATAAGTATATCCAGATACAAGACGAATCTCGCGCTCTACAGGCTGTACGTTAAAAGAAGCCGACGAAGTCACAGAGTGCGTTAGAGGTAGAATATCCAAAGCTGACCATATCCTTCGGTCGTATAATCCAAGAACAATAACTACATAAATTCGTTCAAAGAAAATTTACGAGAGAGAGAGACGTTTCCATGTCTCTCGCAATGTCCTTGAGATTTTTATATCTTCAGATATATAAAACTTTAGAGATTCGAATGTCAAGTGTATACTTTAACCCGCGAAAAAAAAACGATTTCGTGTATTATTGATATTCATCTGCTCCGTTTCAGTAAACCGACAAATTAGTGCTGCTGTGTCACGCATATGCGGCGTCTCGCATGTAAACAATATTAAACTTTCCAAAGTATCGGTCGCGTGACCTTGCCACGGGCACGGTCGGGTCGGTTGACGTTGTCGACCGTGCTCGGCGTTCGCTCACTCGCTACTCTAAGGTAGCGCGCGCGCTACACAGCCGGCTATATACAGACTGGCTATACGGTTTTCAGTGCAATGCCGGTAAGGTTCGCGGTGGGGATGCATCCTCTCGTGTCGTCTCCTCAGGGTACTTACGCGGGTACGCTCGCGCGCACGGAGCCGCCGTGTTCAAGCCATCTCGACGCGCACCCTCGCGTTCACGCTTAGGTGTTTTCATCTTGCGCGAGAGTTGCGACGGCAGCGGGACGCTCTCTCGGGAGACTCGGCGACGCAACATGAAAACGTAAGGAGCGGTAGCGCGCGCGTGTTGCGGTCTATCGACTCCATGGAATCGAGCGGGGATAGCACAAGTGCGCGCGAGACACGCTGTGCGCCGCTCGAGGTGACGTCGCGAACGCGCGTCGTGCTATGTCAGTATAAATATTGTCTCGCCGCGTCCGTGGCTTCTCTCTTTCTTTCTCGCGAGCCCTCTTTTGCCCGCTTCCCGCTCATTCTCTTCTCTTCCTTCTGCCCTCTCTTTCTCTCTCTCTCTCTCCTTTGCTCTCTTTCTCCATCTTTCTCTTGGCGAACGAAACCCTCGCGTTGTCTCGTCCACTGATCGCGCGCAGCACGAGTGGCTCTCGGTTACTTCGTCGGGCTCGTCGGCACGTCGACGGTAAATCGCGTAGTAACGAATCCGAGCCGAGTGATCGCAGTGATACACAGTTCAGTGGCATTGGTTTCACCTAGAGTAAGTTATCCTGTGTACTCCCGTAGGACACGGAGCGTCCAGTGAGTTACGGTGACCGAGTCGCTCTGTCATCTGTTTCTAAGAAGAGAAAGAAAGAGAGAGAGGGCTGCTGACTGCCTGCCTGCCTGCCCGCCTGCCTGCCTGCCCATCTACCTACCTACCTACCCGCGAGAGCGAGCGAGTGAACGACAAGCCTGTGTGCATGTGTACGTGGTATGGCTCGTCGTCGGTGGTTCCTCGCCGCCTTTATTACAGCGAAACCCGAATGCGTGCGCGAGCGCGCGTGTACCCCTCTCGCCTGACCGGCCTGCCGCCTCGATAAAGCTGCGTTCACAAGTGCGATCGATCCCCGTGCAAAGACCGTCATCCGGCCGTTGCTCGCTGAAGAAACGCATCACCGCGGTTAATGAGAACCAACGCCGATCAACGATCGTCCAATCAGCTTTCAGGTAAAAGGACCTGTCTCTTTTTTCGTGGCTAGCACTGTGCGTGAGTCATCGATCGTGTCGGCGTCGATCAAAAGGATACCTTTTCAATGGAAAATGTCGTTCGGGCCCACCGAGTCCACGGTGAAATAGCACGTGGTTCCCGTAGCGGGATTTTCGATTTTTGTTCGATTCGTAATCTCAAAATGTCGCAAGGGTCGCGAATTAAGTGCGGTCTGTGATCACGATACGATGGCTCGATCAACATCAAACTTCAAAGATTTTTGGATAATTGGCAGTTCACTGATTTCGTATGCATATCACATTGATGTAATAAGTTGCATTGTGAATCTTTATTTTAGTTAGCAAGCTTTGTTGAGTCTTATGGTTATAAGAATCTTAACCCTTCGCATGTAATGTTGGGTCTGTGAAACCCGGACGAATATTCGATTCCTCATCAACTTTCGCAGAATCTGGGCAAATTTCAAAATAGCGCAAATCTGCAGATTTTGATCTTGTGCTACCATCTAATAGCCGAAATTTCTCTATATCTCTGGAACAAAATGTGTCCAAAAATATCGATTCTCAACAAAATTATGGTAGTTGTGTTCCAAGAAAATATGATTTTACGCGAAGAATTAATAATCTAAGCGAAAACCGAAAATACTTAGAATGCACTCGTGACGAGTTTAGTTTTACGGAGATTTGCATCTAATTTTATAATATATAGACACGTTAAGAATCTATTCTCAAGTGAAAAACGTCTCACAAGATTCTTTTCGTAATTTGCACAACAGATGCATTCTCGAATACAAAATCTCAGATTGTGACGCACGTTGTAAACAGATGATCCGATACGATACTCTTTATATGTATGCACTGCACGTGTTATGTTGCGCATTTATTGCAGCTGCGTATCCGTAAATGTGAGCGCATGTCGGCGGTTTTCTTTGTTTGACGCATTGCACCGGTGTGAACGTCACCTAACTCAGGTGCGCGTGCACAAAGGGGCATCCTTCGATGATGCATCTCGGAGCTGCGTCTTGCAGCGGACATGGGGAATCGGTCGCAGTCTTCTTGGTATCGCGAGATTCGTGTTTTCTGAATAAGGTGCACTGAAGTGCGGAATTTACGCCATTGGCATCGCGTAACTCTTATCCGACAATTGCGCGTGTATCAAGAAAAAGAGATTCAAGTCTAAAATGTCGGAATGTCTATCAACGATAAATGTATGGTTTATGGTTATTCGTGATAATATTGATTTTTTTGTCTGTTTTTGCTACGGTCAACTACATTTAACTTATTGTCCTCAACTCTATGAGAAAATAAGCAAAGGAAGGTTTCTCTACACGTTGATGCAGTCTTTTTATTAGTTAATTTCTTATAGTATTGATGATATATAATTGTCAACATTATGAAAAAAATTAAACTATGCACTTTGTGTGTATGTGTATATACATATATACACGCAAAGATTATTGATATATTCAAACAATATAATAATTTCACGAATGTATATTCATTTAATGTTGCTAGTATACGTTTTAAAATATTAGAAAATATTTGTTTTTGCATATCACGTTCTTCCACATTCGTTTTTACGTTCTTCTTTGTTAAAATTCTTTCTCCTCGTTTAAGTCGCATTGTTTCTTTGAAGTGCGTAACGTACATATGACGTGAACGAATATCTAGAAGTAGTTGAGGGGATTTTGCTATAATTTCAATTTTAAAATGTACACAGCATTACGTTTTGCTGTCGTAAAATAGTCTGCGTTAAGGAAAAGAAAAGAAAGAATGGCCCAGTGAAAAGAATTTGCCATAATTACGTTAGATGTTTATATATATATATATATATATATATATATATATATATATATGTCGTATGTATGTAAATATATATATAAAAAAAAATATATATATATATTTTTTTTTTATATATATATTTTTATATATTATTTTGCAGAAACTGTAGAATATTTCGTCTTGATAAAAACTTTCTAATTCAATACACGCGCTTTAACGCAGGGCAACATGAAGTTGTGTAAATCAAGTCACTGTTACAATTTATGTCGTCTGGGTTATAGTTCCGCGAATGAAATAGTAAGTTGAGTTCGCGATAGAAAATCAGTACTCGCGAGTTTCTGTGTGGCAGGAAAAGTCTATACACACAGTGTAATCTCTAACGCGACAAGAGTGCGGATACACATCGCGCGCACACTATTTCAACTTATTTATTTTCATTGCCGACTGAGAATTATTTCCCATAAAAATTGAAATTGATAGCCCTCCTGTAAAAACATTTCAATTCTTTTTTCTTTTTTTACGAAGAAACGATCGCGACAATTTATTGATTTAAATATATCTTTCTCCACTTCCAAAATAACATAGCCATTTTGTTATTTTGGAAGTTTTCTACTTCCAAAATAACATATAAACGTCGGTCTAAAAGTTGACTGCGATTTAAGCAATTCTCTCTGCCTCCATTTACACACAGAATTATGAGAATCGGGGGTTTAGTTAAATCTCAGTTAATTACTGATATTTATGGAAAACTAATATTTATGGAAATGATTCATAGAGATTAAAGTGTCAGCGAGAGCGAAGATCCAAGTACCTCGTAATGCCGCGAGAAATCATACGAAATGTCAAAACACTTCTAACGCTCCGCTGATATTTCATTTTGTTACTAAGCTATCCCGATCGGAATTCTTTGAAAGTGAAAAGTCCGTTTTGA